TCGGTTTCCCCTGCCAATCTTCATTCCACCAATTGCTCCACAATCACCCTCACCTATCATCTGGGGTTGGTACAATAGGCCAGAAATGGTCGCAGTACAAGGGACTTAGTCCCACCCCACTAGCAATAAAAAAAATTCATCAGTCAGTACTTTGCTTCCATTTGACACTAGGCCTATGCAACATAAGCAGTTCAAAAGGGGTACAGAACAAACATTTTCATAACAACAGCATCACAAAATAAGATCTTGGCCTGTTCCGGTTACAAAATTTAAAGTTGTTATATTTCAATGCCGGACTCCCCATCATATTATAACATTTGGTTTAATATAACAATAATGAAGATAATAATAATAAATAATATTTTATGTGAAGAATACAAATATATTTGAAAATAAATTGTGTTGCCCAGAGACATACCCAGAATTCCCCCTCAAAACTCAAGAAAGTTCTACGAGGTCTTGCCTCCTTGCAAGCTGAGTTGCACGGTGCAGATGGAAGTGGGTGATTATTTTTAATTCTTGGACTCGAAAATACTTTCGTCTCTTTGCAAGTACTTTGCACTGTATCTCGGTTATCAGGTTACATTAAAAACATAATTCATTGCACTTCGGAAACCTAAACAAAGCGAAACATGAAGTATACAGTACGGAAAATTATACAGAACTGACACTCAAGCTAAATTTAAGCTTCTCGGAAGCCAAGGAAACTGTCATGTTACACATCAAGCACTGCCATGTACTAGTTAAGAGTGAATGTCCTGTTAGAAGTAGCTAACACAATAGAAATAAAAGTTAAGTCGGGAAGCGCAGTTTGCTTGCATTACTTACGGGCGTATTAAGTAGCGAAATTTCGGTTGGAAAACTAAAGATGATGCCATATGCATCATTTCCTAGAAGGAACTGCAGTGGACACAAAGCGAACAATAAAAATAAGAACATTTTCTGTTGTTGATATTAAATAATTGCAGAAAAATTAAATTGAGATTCGAGACCTATTGCTAGTCTAAGGGAACTACTCTTAATGTTGTGTAATTAAAAATATATTTGTCTTTCAACAATAAAGAGAAAACCAAGTTTATTACAGGACACAAACTCTTCAGCCGTTGCAGAATTTAAAGGGTTCTGACGATGGTATGTAACACCCAGAATTCTTGGGTTTTCGGGCTTTGTCCATTGTCCGGTATTCTAGAAACTAGTGACTGAGGTTAGCGCTTTCTAAAGGACCCAACAGAGTAGGTGTGTCATCCCTCACCTGAGGACGGAAACACATCCGGTTTCCGAAACGTTGTGTTTTCTGGTTCCTAGAAAACCGGACGATGAACAAAGTCCGAAAACTCAGTAGTTCTGAGTACTTCAGAGGATTAATCAACAGATCAGGCTAATATTGAACTGAAATTTTATTTTTCTGTGCGCACGCGTCCTGTCTCGAGCCCCAGAATAAACTGGCATACAAGCGCTATAGACGCGTGTAAAGAAATGTTATACTCGTAACCGGACTGATGTATCGGTAATGTTCCAACTTGTATTCGAGAGGTTCTTGGTTCGGCTCTCACCCAGGACAAAAGCCATCCCGACTGAGGCTTTTCATTATTATGTTTGGTTCACAGGCTATTTAACGACGCCGTTCCAATATAAATATGTCGTCCACACAAGATCGGCCTGCTCTGAATCCACACTTCTCTTCTTGCAATACAGCTTCTGATACTGCATTCAATATGAAAACTAAATTTCCTAAAATATTTTGTATCCAACATTTAAAATATTTGTGTTTCTAAATAATACTTCCCGTACTGTAATAATGTAGAAATATCCAGGCGTATCACTTGTTTGCAGCATAAATTTAAAAGGGGTAAGAATTTGTGTTTAAAAATATCCCTTCGTATTTAAGTAATTAAATATTAATTCTGTCTCTACAAACTGCTTTACCACTTTTTGATTATTTTATGTTTCTTCAAGCCCCTAATTTGTTAGAATGTCTACTTTTACTTCTTTATTATAAGTTCCTTGTTCTTCTGTTAGATGTGGATTGTGTCATATATAAAAGGTTAATTAATTATATTTAATTCTAATCTAATGTAGATTTTCTACTCAGTGTATTATGATAATATGGTATGTATATATTAATATTCACAAAACATATTGAAATAGTGGTTTCTGATTGTATTGATATCCTTCTGAATATGGTCTATAAGACCGAAACATGTTAAGAATAAAATATTAAAAAGGAGAAAAAAGCTTCATCAGTTACACTGGACGGAATTAATTAACCTTTTATATTATTGTTAGTGACGGACCTGGATGAAACAAATTAAATGTATCATACATTTTTATAATGCCCCACCTGTATTTATATGTATGTAATTTTCTGTGTTTATTCAGCTGATTCATTACCTCGTATATGCCACACTCTGCTGCCCATGGATATCATGTTCCGTTTTACTCATACAAATTTCCAAGCTTACACAATATGCTGTCGTGCATTAACGTTTAGATATACTTAAAACTCCGTGGTTTTAGTAAGCACGCGAACTATACCGAACGAGCGACCGGCGCTTGTCGGCGAAGTTAATGCCAACATTTTGCGATTAGAAGGTGTCGCGTGGTCAGCACAACAAATCCCCACGGCCGTTAATTTCGGTTTTCTAGACCGGAGTCGCTATTTCCTTGAAATAGCTCCTCAATTATCCTCACGAGACTGAGCGGACCCCGTTACTTCTCAGAAAATCTGGTAACGCCGGGAATCGAACCCGGACCTCCGGATCTGTAGCCATGAACTCTGACCACTAGACAACAGATATATACTGACCGAACATAACCACGTAAGTCCTGAATTCGATTTGAGCAGTTGCCGAATGCAGTAGACACGCTTGGTATGTCAGTATCCAGGTAAGAGGGACTCTGATGGGCCTACCTGATCCATAGGTCTAGGTGTACTACGGACTTCCGTGTGACGTCACAGATCCGGATCTAGCTGCCAATTTGAACAAGGTCACGTATAGAACATTGAGGCTGGAATGGAGACGGGAGGTTACGCTCTCCGCCCTATTGGCACAACAAGGATCAAGGTATTTCTTGATTCTGGCGCAAGCGCAGACATGTCCTGCAGCCACAACTATGGGAGATCTATACTTAAAGGGTCTATAAAGCAATTCGCGCTATGGATATTACTATCCGACTGGCCGCTCTGAGAATTTGTTGTAAGCGAGTTGTTATGCAACAATATCTGCAGATGTCTTTGCTCAGTTATTTTTAATGTTGGGCATTATTTATTTTTTGAAGCCCCCTCAAATAGACGCAGAGACACCTCCTGACCAATCCCCTGATGGAATCATGCACGTCAATATGGAATATACTGATCTGTTTCAGTGAAACTCCGTATGAACATTCTGTCACTGGATATCAACCCGTCTTAGAGATCGCACATTTTAACCCCATAACCCTTTAATATCAACATGGCGATCATGCGAATTTTTCAAATTAGAACAGCACTAACGCGATTCAATATCGTGTCTTGAAGTGTTGTATAGTGATACATTTTTAACTGTTGTAGCGTTTAATAAGGTCATATCCGATAATGGTGGAAATAATAACATGGCCTCAGCGACACACATCTCTGCCTGCTGAAGATAGCCACTGCGGTCTCACATGTTGAGTCTGTAGAATGAAACGTTTATTACATGGAGTGGCTGCGGTGGTCTAATCTTTTGGAACCCTGAAATGTACCAAGCCAATGCTTGTATTTACAAATAGTTTTCAAACAACGGGGTAGTTGTTCAAATTAAGCCTCGACCACTTCCTTTCATATCTTTCCAAAATCATTCACTAGTACTTATAGCACTCGAGGCTAAAGTGGCCCACCCACAGTTCGGTTTTTGAGAGCATCGTTAAACAAACCACAGGTAAATAAACGTAGAATTGCTTTAAGGAAAAGATGCATAGCTTCATAACGGACATATTGATTTCTCGGAATTTGATTTTACTTCTGCTAAGAAAAATAAAGGGTGAAATGAATCATTAAAGAACCTCCCTGAAAATATATTTCAGCCTTTCTCTTCGCTTAATTTTCAAGAAGTACACACAACACTGTCGACTCAGACTTCATGTCTCTTGACACTAGCCTCAGTCTACTTCAGTGCCTCTCACGATAAGCCATCGCCTAGTTTTACAACGGTCTGTAAGCACGAACATCCAAATGTAGCAACTTCGTCCTGGATCAAGGAGCTTCGATGAAATACGGCATTAGGGTCCTTGCGTAAAATTTATAAAACATGCACATTTATGGTACCAAACAATTTCACAAGAAATTTTAATTATATTAGATACATTTCGATAAATATTGAGTCGATCTGAATAGGTTTCGGGCAAATATTGTTGTTACTACTCAGATAAATATTTTACAGCGCCTTAAAATACATTACAAATATTATTATTATTACTTCTACTATTACTATTGCTATTTCGATTTCATTATTCGAGTGTCTGCCAACAGCAAATAGCCGTAACAGGGAAACACAATAAATTAACGCAGAACTGAAAACTAAAAAGAAAAAGTGAGTAAGAAATTCATAGTAGGAATAAATTAAATAGCATCAAAAAATGGAAAAAAGTGTTTATCCTAAAATAATTTAAAAAACTGCAGATGCTATTCGAAGCCTAGGAACACCTGCAGAATTTATGCAATAGTATGTGTCAAACTATTATGCTACCTGAAGAAGGCAACAAATCCAGTTTCAGAGACTTCGGGTTCTGTTTGGTGTACTGGACAATAGACAAAGTCCAGAAATCTAGTAATATTAAGTAGCTTAGTTGCATGAAGAAAAAAAAATCGTTTTCGTATGTCTAACTTGTTTCCTAACGGACGAAAGAGTTCATCCAACTGCTTCATATTCACTAATCGCCATATTGCAGACTCCACATGTTCTCAGTCCTGACAGCGTCGTTTTATAATAACCAAAAAATTACAAAAGAACCCTGCTCTAATGTGTTTTATGCTGTTGCAGATCGAACGGGAGAAGGCGGACTTGAGCGTACAGGTGATCCAGTTGGTGGAGCGTCTTGAGGAGGCTGAAGGCGGAGCTGAGAGCCAGGTAAGCGTCACATAACCTTACATTACCTCATTTTTAAAATACTGTGACTTGTAGACCAATTTATAGGAAACGAGTGACGAACACATTTCCTGGGATACGAAAATGAAAGGTGTTGATTCTTGGAAACTAGCTCGTTGCTGTGGAAACAACAAGCGTTAGGCATGTTAGGAATCTGTTGCCTAGCAATGGGAGTTGTTCATAGAAAAATTTCTCAGCAACCGGTCTACATGCTACGGTATTTACACTTTCGTTATTATTATAATAAGAGACTTAGGACACGCTGTACATGTTTGTATAAAATGCTGAAGTGTGGCCAAGTTAACAGACACTGGCATCAGAATGACTAGAGCAGTTCAAGATTGGATAATTAAAAATATCATACTAACATATCCTCTACTAGTAACTAAACACAGGTCACTATTACATGACATTAATCTTACACGACAGTTGAAATGAATTATTCGTAACAACAAAATGAAATATTATGGCGTCATTCCTCGTGTCTTTCTTTTTGTAATATGTTTAGTGATATTTAATCAAGGTAATTAAATGGACCTCTGAAACATACAGTATCCATAAGAAAAGATACATGGAGATACGATTTTGAGGCTAGCACAGACGTTATTAAGATACTTAGTGAAGTCGGGAAGAAGACAATATTTATTTGCTGGCTACTCTGAATAATCTGCTTTAGGATACATTTGCCTTCAAATTACCTAACAACTCTGTATAATGTCTAATAGCAGAAGACTAACATTGCCATTTAATAGATTCACAGTTTATCACCTTTCAATTTCATTGAATAGGGTAACAACGAAAATTAAAATATTGACTGGGACGGTTATTCGCATAACTTCGATTAATTTTCCTAATAGTGAATGAAAATGATCTATTCTATAGGAAGTTAGTCTATGTCGGCCAGTCTGTGCCTAGAGACGTAACACTGGCCGGTTTTATATTTTAATATCGTTTATAGGAGTACTGATCACATAAACTGTCACACCTGGCTTGCAGTTCGAGATCAACCGGAAACGAGACACTGAACTAGCGAAGCTCCGCAAGTTGCTGGAAGATGTCCACCTCGAATCTGAGGAAACCGCGAACCTTCTGCGCAAAAAGCACCAGGAAATTGTTGTCGACTTCCAGGAACAAATCGACCAGCTTTCCAAGTCCAAGGCCAGGTGAGAAACAACAGTTTTCATGCACTTGAATATGACTGAATAAACTTCGATCAAATTTTGTACTGGGATCTACATAATTCGCTTGTTTCTCATACGACGCTATGCAACGTACAGGGGTAACACAGTGCAGTTAGTTTGGCGTCTACACAATTCTACTTGGGCCCATGAACGTAGAATTTGACATTTCGTGTAACATCCATAAAAACAGAACTAGCATTGGCGCCTTCCCGCGGCCTGTGGAGTATAAAGACAGTGCTCTTGAAATCCAAAGAGTCTAGTTTTGACGCTGTAGCTACAGACTCCTGAGGCTACAAATGCTATTTTAGAAATATGAAATATGATTCGTCTAGGATTACGGATTGACGACTAAACGTCACACCCGGGAACCATGGCGGCCTGCGGAACGCGACTCCAGTTGGCAGAATTCCACCACAACTTGGCAGCGACTACTGTTCCCGATTACATGGAGCATTAAACTTGTTATTTGTGAAGTAGCACAATGAGCCCACAGAACAGTTCTGCCGTGGAACACAAGTATTTCATCCATTCATGACAATGAAACAGAAGGTTTACGGAGGGTAGATGCAAATGTACTGAATAAACGGTCAAGGCCAGGATACAGTATGGGAGATTTTTATTTTATTTGCTAGTGGGGTGGGACTAAGTCCCTTGTACTGCGGCCACTTCTGGCCTATTGTACCAGCCCCAGATGATAGGTGAGGGTGATTGTGGAGCAATTGGTGGAATTAAGATTGGCAGGGGAAACCGAAGTACTGGGAGAAAACCTGCTCCAACGCCACTTTGTCCACCACAAATCCCACTTGACCAGACCCTGGATCGAACCCGGGCCGCCGCGGTGGGAAGCCAGCGACTAACTGCTTGAGCTATGGTGCGGCCAGTACGGGAGTTGGGAGGTTTGTAGGATACGGAACACTTATCCGTACATAGTTATCCCCATGTTATGTTACAACACAGCGCACTAATTTTCATTTAACGACGTAAAGAATATGATAACAGCAATAGTGGGGGAGGCTACTATGTAGTGTAAACAGAAATAGCGCCTTTCAATTTAACAATCATAATGACGGTAGCTCTACAGAGAGCGACTGGAGAATAACACTGATCACTCAGAACCGTTGAGATAAAGAATGCGTGAAATTTTCTCTTCAAGTCCTATAGAAGCCATCGTAGTGCAGTGTTTAAGTGATGGGATAATATTATGTTATGTAACTGAGAATCTGCTAATAGTCTACAGATTCTCAGCTGAAAATCAATGACGATAATAAACACTAAATGCTTTATACGAGTAATCACTTATGCAAACGCGCAAAGGATACTGGAGGTAAAGCGGCCGGAGCGTGGAGCTGACCATTCACCTCCAACTAGTACCGAGGTCAAGAAAACTTGGATCTATCCGTCCACTTCCCCACACGCCTTCATGATGCAGTATTTAATTAGTTAAGCACCGGACAACTTTACCTTTTACCTTATCCAAACACGCTTTTTTTTTAAGAAGCAAATTTGTCCTGTGATCTAATAAACGCATTATAAACATAGGTAACTTAAAAACTGGTGTCTTCATTCCTTGGTTTAGTTGCAGGGTCAGATTTTAATTGTATCAGTAAGAGAGTGTGGAAAGTTGAACTTCGAAACAAACAGATATCCGTTTGAACCTCGGTAGCACCGGTCTGGATCATGAATTTACAATAATATTTAGATTAAGTGTAAGTTTTATTGAACGTTGTTACCCAGCTTCAGGAAATTTCTAATATTGAAGGCAATCTTGGATAGTGGACTACGCCACCTTCACTGCCACCTCCCTGACGCAACTTCAGAGCGTTACAAATACTGATAAGGATAGATGTCTTCATAAATCTCGGAGCAGAAGAGTGGATTGGATGTTGCACTTTAAACACATGCATTAATAACGGAATCAGTTTTAATTTATACCAGAACAATAATAATATACAAATATCTTAACATATCTACGTAAGTTTCAGAATTATGCAGGTTCAGAAATCCGAAACAGATCGCTTTCTTCGCACTCTCTCTCGAGCCGGGATGTGCCGAGATCGGCCCCCGTCTGACATCCAACTCTACATGTCCGAGTCGTAGGGGTACGATTTTATGTCTTCCATAATTTAGGTCTGCCGATCGCAGTGGCCGCGCGGTCCACGGCATGAATCGTTTTCGCCCGCTCGAACGTTGGGATCGTGGGTTCGAATCCCACTCGAGGCATGGATGTCTGTGTAAGTTTATTCTGTGTTTGTGTTGTTCTGCCTATAGATAGCGGCCTTGCGACGGGCTGATATCCCGTTCAAGCAGTCCTACCAACTGTGTATGGATCAAGAAACTGAACCAAACGGCAAAGATAGATAGATAGATAGGTTAGGTTAGGTTCTTTTGGGTTTCATAGAGCCTCAAATAAACAACGTGCCAAAGCTGGCTTTCAAACAAAGTAGCCGCCATAGCCAATGTTATTAGCAGGAAGTTATCCGTTATGCAACAGGAAATTAGCCTTCCGTTGGTTAACCTGAAACACAGGACCCCGGGACTCGTTAGGCAGATATAGTTTAAGGAAATGTGGCAAGTAATTAAGGATATGTTGCGCCAATTTTGAGAAAAAGATGCCAGATAATTGGTATTAAACCTTACGAATGGGAAGAAAACACTTTTATGGAGTATTATCCAAAACTAATAAAGTTTTTTACATTAGTGATCACTTATTAGGCCATCGACATGCAGGAGAAGTGGATGCAGATGCCACAAAGGAAGGAGTTCAAGCGTTTATATTGAGAATGAGAAGTGACACAGCCGTAGTTTCCAGTACAATACCAGCCGACGAGTGGAAAATATTTTCTATCATATGCGATGGAATTCAATTTGTAATGAACAGTCCTGTGTTTAACAAGGTTGAGAACTGAAAAGAATTTTCCTCGGATTGGGAAACCGAAATTATTTGTTAGATTTTTGAAGAAAAGGAGAAACCGGAGAACAAAGCAATTATGTACAAATCTTGCTTTTACCTTTTTTATAAGTTTCCCCCCCCCCCAGAATTTCAGTTGATGTGCTAAAGTTTGATTAATGAAATACCAGACTTTATCACCATTCGAAGCTGTATAACCACACGAAAGATTTTCCAGGCAAATAATTACTAGGATAATATTTTAATCATTTCATTCTTTTTCATTTTAATAATATAATATACTACGTATAATTAAACATAAATAATATAAGATTAATTTGCATAAAACGTATACTGTACGTTTAAAGTGGGACATAACCTCTTCATTCCCATTTCTCAGTTCACAGGAAACATCCCTAGAATATTCACCGCCAATATATTTTGCAAGAAAAAATAATGGTACAGGCTCGCGGTAGCGTAGTTAGTTGAGGCACTATGCTACAAGCCGGAAGGTCGCGGCTTCGATTCCCAATGAGTTCATTGGATTTTCCATTGACCTAATCCTTCCACCTGCACTACGGCCCTGGGGTTGACTCAACCTCAAAAAAGAATGAGTACTAGGAATCTTCCTGGGTGTAAAGGGCGGCCGGTGCCTAAGGCTGACAACCTCACAGTCATTTGCGTGTCGATTGTCTAGAAAATGTGGGAGCCTCGACGTTTCACAACCCTATGGGCCTTCACGGGCTGTTACAGGGATAGCTTTACTTTAAAGGTTTTAGGAAGCTTTCGGAATTGGCTGTTTTTTCGGAAGTTCTCGCCTCCGGATATCGACTGTAGAAGTATAAGGTTAGGGTGGGGGTTACTTGGAAAACACAATAGCGTCTGATTAAACAGCAACACCAGGACCGAACACAGCAGTGACAGCGAAACCTATCCTCTGACAAGATTACCAGGTCAGCCGTTACCTGCGGCCGGCCGAACCAGTGAGGCACGGTCGCATAGCATGTCGGGACGCCTTGAAAATAGCAGACTAAGCGCTCCTATTTTTAAACGACTTGCTCGGCGTCGGAGTCGCTTTCTCTGTAAACCTCACTCACTTCGTGCTGTTCTGTCGGGCCATATTTGTTCACAACACCAGGCCCTTTCTTCCGTCATTACGGGCAGCCTGCCGCTCGAGATTCCACAAACATTAAGTATTCTACACACATGAAACGACATTCTTACTTATAAACAGCTGCGGGGAAGTTGCTACATTATTGTCCCATGAATGTGACATAATGCAGACAAGGTGGGCAAAACCGGGTGGAGCGGGGGATAAGGGATATTGATGTTGATACCAAAGCGCTTAATACAAATCGAGGTAAGAATCAGAGAGCGATTACACGTTTTATAAAGTAAAATATAAAATTACATACAAAAACGACGATTTTGAATGGACAGGGTTTCACAAGAACGTAAATGAGATAAACATTAAGAATATATTTTTTTTAAACTAGTGGAAATAATGCCCAGCATTGTATTTTACAAAGCACCTGGATTTATTTTTAAATTTCTTCAGAAATGTTTACTTCTGTTAAAAAATTACCTTCTTTATCCCTCTGAGTAGGAGCGTCAAAATACAGTTTTAAAACTTTAGGAGCAAGAAATATCCCTGGAATTTTGACTTACAGCTTTCAACATACAAAATTTACTGATTAATTCAGTACATATAAGTTGTATCGTCCCAGTATATCAAGTAAATTTCACGTCTAAATATCAACTTATTATGATACCTAAACCCGTTAATGTAAAAACACACCTCAACAAAATCAAGGAAAAAACCTTCAACATATTTCGGTGGTGATAACTTCTTGGGAAATTGTTTATTCATTAGTGAAGAAATAAGACACTATATTAGTATTTGTAATAACCTCTGCTGTCTCAGACTCCAGCATTATTAACGAAAAAGTTCAAGATCACAAAAACATATCCTGCAATCAAATGCTCCCATCAAGTGATTGCCGTTCCTGCTTCACATTCGGGAGATCTTCGGTTGAAATCTCGGCATCCAGACTCTGGCTATTCTGACTGAAGTCTTTGTGGTTTTTCTCAGTCTCCCCAGCTAAATACTGAGAGAATAATCAACTGAAGTCACGACCGTTTGTTTCTACGTCTCCTCCAATTCCTTATTCTCTAATCACTTTCATATTGACTAACTAACTGCATGGAGTTCAACTCTTCTTGAGAAACCGCCAGTTGTGCAGCTGCTAATGAATTTCCCAATATTTCATGGAACCCGAAGGTTTATGCTGTGTTCACAAGAGTCCTTCACTGGTCCCTGCCCTAAACCAAATCAATCCAGGCCATATCACCCAATCTTAACTTTCTAAGATCCACAATCACACTCATGTTAGTCTACATAATCTTAGTTATTAAAAGCGTCACTAAATAAATCAAGAAACAATTTTCTGCAGGTTTACATCTATTCGCAAAACCTGTTACTATCAACCATATTAATTTCTTTTCCAAATAAAAGTCATAGAAATTTATTAGATGTAAAATTTTTATATACATTTATAAAAGAATTCTGTTCATGACACAGCAATATTGTAGCTAATTCGAAACGTTGCGCCTCTAAATTCAAATTAAGCTTTGGTAGTCCCCTAGAGAGAAACTGGAAGAGCCAAAACATAATTAAAAGAACCCCCATTCCGAGAGAACTCCCTTTGGTTCACGTGGTGATCGTAGAAATCAGTTTGGTACTTCATAGTCCCTTCCATTTTACAGGCACGAGATGGTGGCCGCGATTGCCTTAATTTTCCTGCAGCACACTTAAGTCCACTAGTGGAAGATATGTTCTTCAATACGCGTCTTCACGTCTGGTTTCAACACGACTGCACTCCACACATTACAGTTGTGGAGAGAGTCACTGGCTGTCAGATAATAATCTTGGACGCTGGATTGGTCGCGAACTTGAAGCTCCAGTTTTCTGGCCTACACGCTCACCTGACTTGAATCCTCTCGATTTTTTTCTATTAGAATATTTTAAAACCAACTTGTATACCAGCACAGTTGGTAGTAGTGAGAAACTGTGGCCTTGAATACATCAATTTGAAAGTGAAAGAAGAGTACACTCGGAATATCCGAACGCTTGCGAGTTTCTTTCCACGGAGAGCTGAATTGTGTGTTCGTGAACATGGAGGTCATTTGAAGCCCGTTTGCAAGAAAGTAAAAATAAATAGGTCTTAAAGATTTATTTTGTTTATTTCCTTCTTATACACAAATCGTTAATCTTTAGAAGTATTTATGATGTAACCATGGAAGTTGAAATTAGAATAGCTATAAAATTTTAAGGAGCATCCTCAGGTTACTTGCTCATATGAACTGTTCTATCCATGTTGAAGTCCATAAACCATTCTGTAAAATATGGCATATGATAATGAGACATTCTGTGTATAGACAGTTATGCAGTGAGGAGTGTAAACAGTATTTCTATGAAGCAAACTTATGCATTATTCGTCTGCCTGAGCACAGCGAAAGCTAAAAAACCTGTCACTATATTATAACTTCGTCGAAGAATTTAGTATTGTGCCGTACTCTTACATTTACATTTACCCACATTTACTTCTACACGAATTGACTTGCTAGCCTGACAAAAATTTTCTGCTCTTGACTTCGCTCATCCTGGTCCGTCACACTAGCAATAGTATAAAATGACTCGCAAATACCTTCCAGTGTGATTGATTAATAAAATTTGTATTTCAATTCTTCATTTTCATTAACATGTTTCGGTCGGACTGACCATCTTCAGAAGGACGCAGTCAACATTGAAGAAACCATTATTACAATGTCATTAATAGATAAAAAATTATACCTTATAACAGCATTAAGTATGTGAAGTGGTTGGAACATGTATGAGTTAGTATAACTAATTTACTTACACCGTCAAGTATTTAAAAATACAGTTATAAGAAATTGTTCTTAAAACTAGAACCAGTGGTTCGTGTCGTGAAATTTCTTCCCGTTAAAGGAAGAAGATTGTCTATCACGACGGGCCGCGCATAGCTCAAGCGGTTAGTCGCTGGTTAGGGGCTGGTAGACAAGTGCTGGAAGTTGATAGTCATTCTGAATAGCAATGAACTATAACAAGCGTTGAGATTATGGACCATATTTATAAGTTTATACCCTAAAAGCCCATTAATCATTCTTATAATTTTTCTGAACTCACATAATTGCAATAACTCGCTGAATAGTAGCACCACCCTGTGTTTTCAGATCTGAGAAGGAAAAGGCTAAGTTCCAGCAGGAGGTTTATGAACTGCTCGCCCAAGTGGAGGCTGTCACTAAGGACAAGGTGAGTCCACCAATATTAACTGCAAGAATTATTTACATTGTAATGCAAATAGTAGTAATGATAGTAACGAATTTTCTTTACTTGAAAAGACCGTTACTTCGAAAATGCCGAAGATAGATGTGACGTTTCGCATCGCCTCCATGTTTGTATATTACATACACTCGTATATGTTTATGTAACCGCCATTCTTTTGTTTTACATACTACAAAAATTGCCCTAACATAAGCAACATATTTTTCTGGTATCTATCATCACTAATATTTCAGGACCTAGATTAAGAGGCGCTAGTGTCGGTCTACCCAACGGCTTCGTGTGTCCAGTGGACAGGAAACTACGACAAAATACCCTTTCCATGAACACAAGGGACAGGAATATGTAGGCACATTTCCCTTCGGCATTCGTTTTGGCCCGGTCAGGGCTCTTCTCTCCCTGGTTTCGTGGTTTTAACGCATTTCCCTTCTTACTGGTCACGTGATGCAAGCTATTGACGTCACAAGACACTCAAGGTTAACACAACAGCTGGTTCCACCTACCACCGTACTCTCTCTCGTCTGCTGTTTCCAGGTTGCATGCAAAAAAAAAGTTGCTCGTGACTTTCGGTACGACCTACGTAGTTTGGTCACATCCTATTCATTTGGAATTTGAAGGCAGCAACTTCCTCCGAAACTTTGGTATCCACTTGCCTCAACCCAGAATAGTACAATGTAAAATGTACAAGGTCGCGTGGCATCCAATGGCATCAGATTCATACCAATTTCGTGAAAATCGGTCAGTCAGTTCACAAGTTGAGAGAAGGGAAAAACACAGACAGCACGATGAACTCATGATCATGAAGATATGGGGAATGGAGGTATATCTCCACCAATCTTGACCTCGACACTAGATGAAAGTGAGCGGTCAGATTCACGGCCCGGACGCTTTACCCAGGGAAAGAGAACCCTGTACCCATTTTATAGGTGATCGGGTGGGCTCCAGAGCCGTTCTGGGCGCTGTTGAATAGAGAAAAACCTCTTGCCTCTGCCGCGAATCGAACCACCGTCCAAATTGTATCCCCTTGCTACGCTGACTGAGTTATCCCAGCTCAACTCATAGGCCTGATTTGTTTTCTTTAAGAAAAGAAAGTAGGCTATAAAAAGGAAGCCCAAGGATTTCCAGGCATAAACCATAAATTTTGCACAGAATTCCAGACCTGTAATTCCTGTGTTCTTAATGTTACATTTAGGTGATATAAGTTCGTACCATGCCGATCACAGTGACCGCGCGATCTAAGGCATGAACAGTTTTCTCCCGCTCGAACACTGGAATCGTGGGTTCGAATCTCACTCGAGGCATTAATGTCTATGTGCAGGTAGAGCTGATCGCCAGTCCAAGGAGCACTACCGACTGTGTATAGGATTAAGAAACTGAAAAGTGGCCGAGACCTAACAAAGGGCTGTAGAGATAGATCGATAAGTTCATGCCACAACAAATAAACTGCAGTTTAACTCAAAACTTCACATGCTGAGTTCGTGCGTATGATCATACGATAAAACGTAATCAATTTTTTGTGGTCTATTCAATGACGCTATCAGTAAATTCGGAAGGAGGCGGTGCTGTCCTAACTAAGGCAATTCCCCGGAATTTACTTGGAAAGACTGAGGAAAACCGCGAGTAACATCAATTACGATATTAGTGTTCTGGCCGAGATTTTGACCAAGCGCCTTTTTAATGCAAGTGCAGAGTATCGCTGCTACACCGACCTGCTCGATGAATCCAACTCGAGTCACGAAGGTTTTATTATCTATAAACATATTAATATTGTTACTACTATTATTTCGCGCTTTATCTGCTAATGTTGTTTTTACTGACGATATATTTGGAACAACTGATGCGTTGCGGCATACTTGTCACGCATCTGCCGGTGCACTGCGGGCTATGTTTCGATCCTGCTAAAATCCAACACAATTACGGGGACACATTTTTAGAAGAGATAAAGTGCTTCTAAACTCTATTACCGAAGAAGTTGTATTATCACATATTATTTCAGGCCCCCCTCCCCCACACACAAACACGGCCGGTCACAGTAGCCGCGCGGTCTAAGGCATGATGAACTGTTTTCGCTCGCTTGAATGCTGGGATCGTGGGTTCGAATCCCACTCAAAGTATGAATGTTTGGTGTGTGTGTATGCGTTCATTCTGTGTGTAGGTAGCGGCCTTGCGACAGGCTGATCACTCGTCCAAGGAGTCCTACCCTCTGTAAAGAAAAAAATGATTACGGAACTGAATAAGAGGCCTGGGCCAAGAATGGACTGGAAGAACCATTGAAATATATATATATACCGAGCAGGCTTGTTGAGAAGCAGAAGCAGAGGCAGAGGCAAACAAGATTTTTGTTGCTGTCAGACAATTGCGGGTTTGTTGATGTGGGGCGCTCTCTCGGACAATTGCTGCTGGTCCTATCCAACTCAGTCATTCTCAGGTCGGAGTCCCGCGGGAATCATGACCATATTTTAATGTCTCAGATTCGAGACTCTCCCAGCCTGGAGGACCATGTCCCCGTATTTATCCGAAGGTAGGAGAGTGGCCCAGTTATACCCCCAGGCACTGGGTTCCCTTTTAGTCGCCTCCTACGACTCGCAGGGTGGATGTATTCGAATCCGCCTCCACGCGGAGGTAACAATCAATGTGTCTTGTGTGCATTTTAGAACAAAAAGTTGTTACCTAGTTGTTATCGGACACCTTTGATTCAAGCCTCTTTAGAATACTTTGTATTCACCTTTCAATTCTCTGTCTTGATGCTACTCCCAGGAGTACTGCATTACTTGGAGATTGAAGGTAGAGATTTAGCTACATATATATTTTTTTTTCAACTGGTCATCTTTAAAGTGATCGTCTCTTTTAATTACAGTGACTCATACCATTCTTCCCCGTATTTGTTTAGAAATAAACCAAAATGGTATTCACCCGACAAAACTTAATGTCGATTCTGCAGTTTAATCGAAGCTCATTGAAAAGTCTCGGAGATAAAATTTACTAAAAACTTACGGGCATATGACATCATATTGTGTTCCTCTTATGCACCTCGTATTAAGAGTACGTAACCAAACGTCATATTTTTTGGAAACCTTTGCTAGGCGTAATATTGCATTCCAGAAGGATTTGTAATTTGCTTTACTGCACTCTCTGAGTGAATAAGCCTTGTTTTCACTGTTGCAGCTTGTGAGCATCAAGCAGGTTGAGAAGCTAGAAGTTCACGTGCAAGAGCTTGTGATTAAGATTGAGGAGCTCAATCGCACCATTGTGGACATCACATCTCACAAGACACGACTGTCACAGGTTTGCAAAATTCAGTACCTACTAAAATAACCCATTACCATTATCTGCATACCATCATCTAGCGCCAAAGCTTTGTGACGCTTTAGATACGTTTACCAGACCCAGTACAAACAGAACATACCATAAATTGAATTAAATTAGGCTACATTAAACTGTTAAGGAACGAGATTTCTTGGAGCACTGTACAAGTGTGTCTAGTGAATGAAAAAGATAGTCTTTTTTATATTTTTATTAGACTACAAAAAGTACACAAAAGTGACTTTGGCTTTGCCAATTCAGCCTTCACACCTCACACGAGTTGCAGTCCTATCCAGCAGTTGGATTTGTTATCTCTAGTCCTATGTTCGTACAATCTTTAGCCTTTGAATTGGGATTAACAAGTTTTTGACTCCTATGTAATTTCCTTATTTACTACTTAGTCTTATCCATTACATCCACGAGGTTAATAAGTTGCTCTATGTACTCATCATCATCATCATCATCATAATCATCATCATCTGTAATCTGTCAAGACGACAGGTCCACAGTCTCTTCCAAAACAATTCCTCCACTTAATGCGATCTAGAGCTTTCTCCTTCAAATGACAGTATCCTCTTCTGTCCCCAAGGTCATCTATGTATTATATATTCAAATATATTTTGGAATGTTATTTATGAATTTAATGAGTCCCTTGACATCCCAAAAATTTTGTACTAGTATTTTTGACATTTCAGCCAACGAACGTAAAGTTTGTTTTCTGACATTTTCCGTAAGTGTATTAATTAATTCAGCTCTTTCTTTTGTTAGCTGGGGGCACTCCCAGGAGATATGTTCCACTGCCTCTATTCCTGTCCCACAGCCACAAACTTCTGCCGGCACTATTCCTTATTTTGCCGTTGCTATGTGAGGCTGGTCAATGTGTTTATTGTCACCTTCACTCGTCTGTTTATTCTGATGGTCTAGCGCTTTTTGACGTAACTAACGTCCTCTTCTGTACCATTTTCCAGACAGAATGCATGGAACTCCTGTAAGCATCCTTTCTGCCCTTCTTCTTCTGCTTAGCACTGATGAACATGTTTCCCTTCCACGCAGTCCTTTGTGCTTCCCCATTGATAGTGGAGTACATTGAGATCACTGGCTAATATAAATTTTCCTTTTATTTGTTAGAAAAACTGCTTCAATTTCCTCTGCTAGACCGCAACCAGTGGTGACCTATAACAGGACATAATTAGTATTCTTTCTTGTCCAAAAAATTTCAGCAGCGCATACATATCTCCACTTTACCATTGCAGTCATACATACCAACTTTCTCTGTAAACTTAACTTTATTATTTATTAATATTGCCGCTCCCTTGCCTACTTCTTCATCTCTTGATTTCTTCACTATGTTGAAACATCTCAGGTATATGCTGCTACAAGACAGAGTCTTGAGTATGATTCCACAGCTGTAGATACCTGTCAGTAAACGGTGTAACTATGTTAAACACCATGCAAATCACAAAATAACAAAATGGGAGACATGCAATATTTATGTAAAATCAAAGATTTAGGGAAAACAACAGTAATAAATAAAACAGAGCAATACAATAAGGAAACAAATAAAAACACGAAGAATAAAATTATTCTGTACTTTAAGGAACAACAGAGAGAAGCAAACAAAAAATAAAAGAGTAAATAAATAAAAAAATATAAGCTAAACAGGAATTAACATAAATGAATAAACCAAAAATATGGAAGGAAAAAAAGTTAAAAGAAATATATAAACCCCCCCTTCTACATGCTATCACTTGGTCATCTGGCTGTTGTCTGCTTTACTTAAAGTACAATACTTTAATATGCCAATTCAACATATGGATACAAAGCAAAGTTGAAACACAACTTTTCAATGGGGTAATTTTGTCCATTCTTCTTGTTCACATCCTGAACAGATTTTTTGGCATGACACATAAGCCTTGAGGACTGGAGAAGAAATTTATTCCCTCATATCATTATATATGCTCTATTTCTCCCTGTCAGACCTAGCCCAATTAATAAATCCTTGGGAAAAAGAAGTGTACTCTAACATGTGCTGAGGCTGGATTAGCTTTCATAAGAAAGGATCTCTCATATGAAGGAAGCTGTGGTGGAGTCCTGTTTTATTCATTCATTATGAAGCAGCATGAAACTCGAGAGTTACTATACGAGTATTGTACATACAGTGGTCCATTCGTTTAAATGATGTCTGCATTTAATCACTTTCATCTGATCTGTATTTGTTTAATATTATAGGAGAATCTTGATCTTACCAAAGAAGTGCAGGATCTCAAGGTTAACTTGGAGAATTCTACATATTTGAAGAGTCAACTCGCTGGACAGCTTGAGGATGCCCGCCGTAGGCTTGAGGATGATGAAAGAGTAAGTAAAGTTATCTTACTACATCACAGTAGATAAAAACCCTGAAAATATCGAAACAAATTACTCCAAAAATATCACCCATGAAAGGGCTATGAAGAGGTGAATTTTTAAATGAAATGTACTAAATGAGAAATCATACCACACTGCTTTTGATTTAAAAACAACATTTCAGAGACTGGACTCTGACTCCCTCCTCAGATAAAAGCCTACATAGTTGGGCCCAATCGATGGAGCTAGCCCTTATCTCCAGGCTGAATGGCATTTTCCTGAGGATGGAGACATTCAAAACGTTTTAAGCAAAAAAACTGAATGATGGATAATATCCAAAAAGTCTTTCGGCTTTTAATAGCTGAAACATGTAGCAAAGCCAAACTAGGCGCTGACCTTAATATAGTTGTGTTGTGATGGATTTAATAAAGAAATTGTATCCAAAAAGTCAATAATTGTATATTCACAAGTCTTTAGATCTTATTCATACCACAATGTCACACACACGGGGCCATATATCAAATGGCATGTCATGTTACCCCCTAGACCAGAATTTAACCCTGTTGCAAATGTAGAACAAAAGTCTTTTTATGTTTTTCAGTCACTAGAGGTGTTGAACAGCAATTTAACTTCTGCAGCAGTATACTGAATTATAGTCAGTTTCCATTAGCTGGGGTGCTGACTGTACAGTTTCCAGCCAGGAAAAGGATATGAAATGTTACATTTCTTCTCATACACTTTGTGGTTTATTTTCTTACACCAAATTTAGTTAACGTCATTAACTGCACTGCATGTTCGGTATTCAATACTGTGGACAAGTACCTTTCAATTTGGAAAGAGAATGATGTAAGTCAGGTTATTTAATTTGCTGTTCCTTATCCAAAACGACAGGTGTTTCCAACCTATCGTATCATTAACTTCAAGTAGGTCCCACTCACCATCTTATAGCCCCTGCCAGAATATTTTATATTAGTTTACTTTTCTTCATTAAACATGAGGTTGCACACAGCATATTTATGCTTGTATCACCATTGGCTCAGGTTAGCTTGGCATAATTTGTAATTTTTCAGATCATTAGTAATTAGTTCCTTCATCTTCATGTTAATCACCGGACTGTTTGTCCATTTCTTATTCCCAGCATTTAAGGTTTCTCTTTCTGGCTGTTATAAATTGATATGTAATTACAGTATTTAAAATATATGAAAGAGCAGACCACTTCTGTGCCTTTGTCCACTGTTGATATTCAGTATTTTTAAATGCCAAATATGTTCTTTCCTGTGGTGCTAACTGGTCAGACATTTCAACATTTCTGATTTTTTGGTTCATCTTGGACAGACTCTGTTTTCAATGTAAGAGTAAGAATGTAATAATGGAGTTTCAAATGCAGAGGGTAGAGCAGTTTTCTTGTAGAATTCTGAAGCTTGGGATTAAAGGAGGGAGGTAAAGATGCAAATGAGTGGAAAAATTTACAGGTCTATAAACTGCTAGAAATAGGTAATGTTATTTTAGAAACATCAGTGGTTCAACCCACTATCAACAATTTATTTACCTCCACATAATGAGAATCTGTGATAAGAGTTCCTAATCATGATGACAAGTCTCTGACCCATAGCAAGAGACACANGCACAACTCTGGAGGCAAGCTTGCACCAGGTGGAGATTGAGCTTGAGTCAGTGCGTGTACAGCTGGAGGAAGAGACTGAGGCCCGCTTGGACCTAGAGCGACAGCTGACTCGTGCCAATGGTGAGGTACAGACCTGGCGCTCTAAGTATGAGGGTGAGGCTGCTGCACGTGCTGAAGAAGTTGAGGAAATCCGGTAAGCATTACTGTTAGGCATCAGTACAATATTTGACTCTGAAAAACTCATGAGATTTGAGATCCTCACACTACTATAAGGATTATAGCATGTGACTCCATTTAATCTGAGTGTAGCTTTGGTTGGTTGGTTTCCAATGGCTGCATTTGGGATCATTTAACCCATTTGCTTCTTGGTTCCCACCAGAGAGCACTCAAGTTCTTGCTTTGTTGCATCTTCTTTTGGGAAGCTTTGCCATGTTTGTTGCTCATTTTGCACTACCTGGGGGGCATGTATGACTTAAAGAATGTCATGGACATGAGCTTTAGTCTATGGGAAATATTATACTGTTATTGTTTAGGAAGACTAGGTTAGTATAGCAAATGCTGTAATGCTGCATGAAGCTACAGTATGACAAGTGTCTACCGCACCGCATGTCTGTGATTTTTCAAATCTGAACAATTTACCAGAGTCTTGGGATTAATATATTTAATCCACATTGTAGCCGCAAGTTCACTGCTCGCCTACAGGAGCAGGAGGAGCAGATTGAGACTCTGTTGGTCAAGATCAACAATCTGGAGAAGCAGAAGTCTCGCCTCCAGAGTGAGGTTGAAGTCCTCATCATTGACCTGGAGAAGGTAAGCTGCAGTATCATTCATACAGAAATAGCCCAAAATTTGTCTACAAATGAAGCTTGTGAGCACAGTTAAATTTCTTTTTAAAAGCACATCAAACATTATCTCCATTCAAGCCATCAGAATGGCTCACTGAAAGATGGGAAGTTGGCTCAGTAGCTGCACAGTGTAATGATTCTCATTTTATATGGTGATGCTAAATTATGTGGAATGGAATGGTAGAATGATGTCATTCTTTTCATTTTACCCACATGTCACTGAAACTAGAATGTCGAATAAATATTAATTAACTTTTACTTTCTCAGTGCATACATTCTAGAATCCTGAAAAGCGAAAAGAGGACAACTTCCTTCATTAGTCACACTCAGTAGAAAATATATCATACCATTAAATATAATGTCTCATGAATTATAAATTTCAGAATTTCAACATTACAAGACACATTATATATAGTCCTGAAATGTAAGCAATAGTAGCAGTATTGTTCTTTAACTAGTAAATAAAAATATAATTATTAGATATGCTCGAAATCAAATAACTTTGCCAAGCAGAATAAATTAACTTTTTTTCTTGAAAGTGACCCATGATGTGTTTATTTCACTTGTGTGGAATGTGTTATATAAAAAAACAAATTAGTTTTAAAGTTCTCCGTTTTTTAATGTAATCTGTTATCATCACCACAGAACTGCATAATATTGTGTTTCATATGAATAAAAGAAGTGGAGGTAGTATGATTTGTTTCCTTTGAGTTTTTTATATTATTTTTGTGTGTTTTTTGAACATATTCTTGCATTGAGATTCCCTTGTTGTGCAGAATGAATGGTTCATATCGTACTCCTTGCATCTACTAAGTAACTTGATATCTAAGGAGATGTAACGGCATTATAAATTGAATGAATGAATGAATGTATAAGGGGTGGGCCTTCTCGGCCCTTGCACCACAACCTACAGTGATCTATTGTGCTTATTAGTTGTGGGTTGTCACATGAAACTGCAGTCAGGTGGCGCTAACAAGTCCTAATTTATCAGAAAACAAAACCAGTTGAATACATGTAAAGACAAATACTCAAACTGCACAGGCTAACAACACTGCCCGTGAGCTGCAGAAGCGTGTTGAGCATCTGGAGAAGGTCAACATTGACATCAAGACCCGACTGGATGAGACCGTTGTCCTGTATGAGACATCTCAGCGTGACTTGCGCACTAAGATCACTGAAATCCAACGCATCACACATGAGTTGGACAAGACCCGTGAACAGAAGGATGCCCTCACCAGGGAGAACAAGAAGCTATCAGGTAAGTGGTAGTAAAGAACTGGCAATTTTGTAAACAAACTGCTGTTTGTTTTTTCATATCTCCACACCAGGGTCATTCACTGTAACTGTTAAACATATTGTAACGTGGATGGAGCAACAGGAAGTAGGGGTCACATGACGTCATATACTCCCACTCCTTCCTGTTGTGTCATCCACATTACAATATATACATTTCTTCTATTAAAGTGTAAAGATGAATTATGTTTACCCAAGTTTACTATATTTAATTAATCTATATGGTATGAAGATATATGAGGGAGTGGAAGTACAGCTCTTCCTGTTCTTAAAGAAAAAGTTTTTACCTTTTTGCTTGCTCCTTTTTTTTTCTAAAATATAAAGCTCAGTGCCCCATCTATCTGCCTGTCTACCTACCTACCTCTCTCGCCCCCCACCTGCCTGCCTGGCTGTCTCTCTGTCCATCCATCCATCCATTCATCCACCTATTGTTGCTATTCTCCTTCTCTTCCCCTATGCCTTCTCTCAACACAGAGTTACTTACCTGGTAGTTCTCCTCTTGAACCATTGGTGAACCCCACCACTCAGGCTTCAAGACTGTAGCACTTCCCATCTTATGTGTGACCCTGTTACTGTTTATGTGACAAATTGTAAAGTAAGTAATCTACGCTTCTATAAATATGGACTTACACTTGAATGGCATTATATCAGTGTTTTCAATCCACCAGCATGGCATAGCATCGTAAGTCATACATGTCAACACTTTCATTTAAAATTCTGCAAAAATTATATTTGACCTAGAGGGATACAATTTAGGTAAATGGACAAAGCAGATTAAATTACATTATTTTGTATCAGAGTATCTGAATGCACATGCATGGGTTTTGTCCACAAAATTGAGGGGAAAAAATCAGGGATTTTGACTTCTAAAGATTGGATAAATGTTTAACCTAGCAGTGGAATTAGAAGGGAACACAGGTTTCCAGTGCTACTTATTAGACATAGATGGAAAATGAAAAAAAAAAGTGCCTTGACATGTTAAAATTCAGCTTGTGTACTACATTTTACTGAAATTATTTAAGAAGTCCTCTTAAAAATTGAAGTCAGTCCATTCAGAATGGTGTTGCAGAAAACATTCTAGAATACATGAGTAAGACACATTTTCCAGAACTGTAGAGCTCTTCCCCAGTTAATATCACTGATTATTCACTTCAGATGACCTGCATGATGCAAGGAACCAACTGGCTGATCTTAACCGCCGTTTCCACGAGTTGGAGATTGAGCTGCGCCGCCTGGAGAATGAGAGGGAGGAGCTAACAGCTGCCTATAAAGAGGCTGAGGCTGTAAGTGTCTAGTGGGAATGGGAATCATGCTTGTAACCTTAACCCAGAACAAGATACTTATGCATTATCATTGTCCACTGATGTTTCCATCTGAGTAGGGTATGCCCTTTATGTACGTATCTGTACCCATACTTTTTCTACTGTCACTAGTATATCTTGCTTTCCCAGTGATTGATTATTTGTTATATTCATTTCTTATGCTCTCAAAGGAAATCCTAGGACCATCTATGCATAATACATGTTCATACCACTGTATCTTTAATTTGTCCAAATATTCTTGTTGCATTTATAATTTTTTATTATATGTTATGTTGCTTAGGATTTTGTTCTTTCATGTTCATTTCTTTATATTCTACAGAAACCTCGTCTACATATGCATTATAAACCTGTAATGGACCCAAATATGTTAAAATATGTATTATGATATAATCATATTTGAGACCATTTACTATCCATTTAGCTGTCCCTGTAACAGGCCATGGAGGCCCATAGGATTGTGAGATGTTGAGGGTCCCACATTATCTAGACAACTGGCTCACAGATGGCAGTAAGACTGTCAGCCTTAAGTGCTGAACGATTTGCAGTAGTAGAGATCATTAATCCTTAACAGACCTACAAAGACACATACTCTTTCTAAGTGAAAAGTTATAAATTAGAGTATATGTCTGCTGTTCATCAAAATTATTCAGCTCACTTAAGTCAGGCCCTGGCATCTCACTGTGGAAGGCCAGGTTCACCCTTGGGTTCATGTGAGATTTATGATGGACAAAATGGCTCTGGAGAAGCTTTTTCTCTGAATTCATTTTATTTTCCTTTGGTAATCATTATTCCGCCATTGCTCTATATTCATCTATCACTGCCTCCTGAGGTGTGTGAGAATCCTGAGCAGGCAGTACATTAGCATTCAGTCATAAGCTGGGGGCTTTATCTCTGACTTTGAACGTGGTTTGTTATGCAGTAAGAAAGTCAATTAGTTCAGTAGTAAACTCTATCACTTATTTTAGTACTATATAGAGGAATTCCTAATAGTTCATCACAAATGGACTGCATGTATGAATCTGTTTAATGAAAATCACCATTCCTCATACCTTGGCAATTTCACTCATACATACTTAAGTAAATACAGATATGAGCAAATAGGATAAATTAGTTCAGAACATTTCATACCACATATTTTTGACTCTGAATCAAACCTATTTGATAGTTATTATAACTGAGGATTAACTGTCAGTTTCTCAAAATAGTTCTTGGATACCCAGTACCCAAAACAAACCACGATAACAACTTACCTAATTATCTTAATACCCATCAGCAATGTCCAAAGCCTTTTGAAAAAGGTATTCAGTATAAACTACAGATTGTGAGTCAAACATGTATTTCAAAATGGATATCTATTAAAACACAGCAGCATCTGTTTACTCTGGCAAGATCAAGAAGCCCTGACATATGGACACATGTCTAAATATATTTTTCTTTACCTTTCATTTAAGTATAATATAAAATAATATAAATATACATATTACTATACTTCCAGTCGTGTGATTCCACTTATTCTAAATGAGAACCAAGCGAAAATGTGAAGACTGCTATGTTCTGAAATACGGTGCTATGTACTATCGCAGAGAGGTGCCAATGTTCCTGCTGGCTCCATCTTAGCAGATGAAGACGATAGTAGCAGATCTATGAAACTTTTGTACCTTTCTGGCATACCACATTTCATTACATCCTAGAACACAGTAATATTTTTATTCAGTGTCGTGGGAACCTCAAATCTCACAAGATGGAAACAAGCTAACATGTATGTATGAGTATGTGTTCATCATTTCATAATTAATAACATTTCACAGAGAGGAATAAAACAGTGTTGCAATCTATTTAGCAAAGATATGCCTCTCTAAACCTGTGTCCATGATATGTCTAATAGATTGGAAAACAAATATTTCCATCAGTAGTGTGGAGGCAAGTGATAGCATAGTTGGTTGACACACTATGTTACAAGCCAGAAGGTCACAGGTTCAATTCACAATGAGATCATTGGATTTTTCAATTGATATAATCCTTCCAGCATCACTATTTACTTGGGGTCACCTAGCCTCTAACACAAATGAATTCCAGGTATCTTCCTGGGGGTAAAGGGCAGCTGGTCAATGGGTAAAACTGACAACCTCACCGCCATCTGTGAGTCAATTGTCTAGAAAATGCAGGAGCCTCAATATCTCGCAACCCTATGGGCCTCCACAGCCTCTTACGGGAATACAGCTTTGCCTTTTACCACACTGTATTGATAAAAATATTTGTTTTCCAATGTGCTTATCACTTTGACAAAGCTCTTTTCTACATACAGCATGAGTACATGAACTGATCTTTATGCTGTGTGTTTACTGGTCGGCAGGGCCTAAGATTGACATGTTTTGTGGGTTACAGGGCCGCAAAGCTGAGGAGCAGCGTGCTCAGCGCCTGTCAGCTGAACTGAGTAACTTCCGCCATGAAGCTGAAAAGCGACTGGCTGAAAAGGATGAAGAGATTGAAGCAATTCGGTGAGTAAACAAATTTAATAAGTATGACAAGAGTTTTGGAAAGTGATTATATGCAGTGAACTCTTAATTATGAGCACATTACCTATACTGAGTAAGAGAAAAACAGGTCCTAATATCTGCTAAATTTTACCTCCAAATGTTGTGTCCCTTACAGAAACATAATTCAAGGCATGATCGTAATATTGGAGCCAAACCTAAGAAGACAATGACAATATGTGACAATGTAGCAAAGTGTGAAAAGGGGATGAAAAGTGGGAGAGAGGTGCAAAGGCAATATGCAGGGAAGAATATAAGCAGTTACCTACAGTAAAATATTGTAATACTTCTGATTTCAGTGGGAGGTAGGATGCTTATAGTAATTATGCATACAGTGTTAAAAAAAAAGAGTTACATGCTTTAAGGGCATATAGTACTCACTTAAATGAGCAAAAGTGTCCCAGTCAACATATGTCCAGAAATCAGTGTTTGCTGAGATATGGGCGAGTTTTGCATTTGACTGGATACTAGGATAACACTGTAGTATGCATTAAGAGAAGGTCAGTGAATGTCATATATGTCTGCATGTAATGTGACTGTCCCAGTGTACTCACTAGGAACACTACTTACCTATTACTAATGGAAAATCAGCAATACTTGGTGATTTTAAATTTGTTTAGTGGTTTTGTAATGAATTTTATTACCCTGCATGGGAAATGGGAGACATTTATTTCATGTACAGCTGTACCACTGAAAATTCTTGGGCAGCATTTTGCCTCTACACAAAACATTAACCACAATATAGAACCTCATTCCACAAATTAGTCACCAAATTTCACCAGTGACTCAGTGAATCTGGGTCCTTTGCTCCATGGGTGTCAGATTGTGGAGGGCCTCGATGAGTTCAAACTCCTGATATGGAAGTTCACATACTGAGAAGGGTGGAGGAAGATCTCAGTACCGGTGTGCGAAGAACTGTAGCTGCTGAAGTATCAGTGTTCGCCTTGGATGGAGAATTCTCTGTGAACAATCACTTTACTTACAATACATCCAGTGGGTGCAAATCCTCACTCCTCCTGATCATTGTGCAAGGGTGGTGTTTTTCCAATAAAAATGCATTGTAAGTGCACAGTTTGTTGCTAATATCCTGTTTGCTGATGAGGAGGGATTCACAAGGGACAGGACTGTGAAATTCCGTAATGGCCATGTCTGGATTGATGGCAATTCCCACACCACCATGACATCAACTCTTACGACCAGTTGTGTTACCTAACCGACTAACAGGTGCAACATACCATTTTTCTTCTCTCTCTCTTTTGTGAATGATTTACCAGCACTCTGGGAAATGTGCCTCTTCATCAACAACATGTAGTTCATGCATGATAGAGCACCACCTCATTTTCTCCCCACTGTCAGAGAGCACCTACACCAGATTTCTGGCAAAGAGTGGATGGGATGTGGAGGCCCAGTCTACTGGCCTGCATGATCCCATGACCTTAATCCTCTGGATTTTTGGATGTGGGGATACCTAAAGACCTTGGTGTATACAGTGCTGATCAATGACTTAAAGGTATTACATCAGAGAGTACAGAATGCCTGTCATGAGATTTGTGTGAAACCAGGAATTTTCAACAAATTGTGAACCTGTGTGTGATGAAGAGCTAAAATTGTGTTGAAATGTGTGGGACTCACATTAAGCATCTACTGTAGATATCACTCAGATCTCAGCAGGCATTGTTCTTTGGACATACATTGCCTCGGAATTTTTTCTCATTTCTGTGAATACTATATACCCTTAAAGCCTGTAACCCTTATTTTAACATCCTGTATATTTACCCATTCATGAAAAAGCAGCCTATAGATCATATGAGTATCTTTAGACTATATTTTTCTTCAGATTTCCTGTCTCTTTTTTTTTTGTACTTCCCCATAATTCAGCAGCCCATACAATCAAAGATTTACTGTAATTTAAGGTTCACTGTTAAACAACTTAAATTAAAATACACATATAATGGTACAGAGAAAGACCAGCAAATTTTATTGATAAAATTCTACAGTTTGTCTCAACAGATTAAAGAATGATTCTACTTATTATAAAGGAACTCAACGAGAATGATCTAATGTGGGCAAAAATTGTGGCAAAGTGAAAGCTCGTAAATATATTCCATATAATAAAGTCACTTATGAAAAATCACTTCATCAGGGCAGCTTGCTAATCAAGGACACTGAGCCTGCATGTGTAACCTTGGTATGTTTACAAGAAATAAATTCTGGTGTCAATTTAACTCATTCAAATTCCAGCATTTATGCGGTGACCCTGTTGGGTCAGGTGTTCTCACAATATACAAAAACAAAAAAAAAAACAATGGAAATTTTTCTCACAAATAGTTCCAAGAGGCAGCCAATATGTGACAGTGGCTTTGGATTTTTATTGCTTGTTGAAATGTCATTTTAAAGCATCTCATGGTAAATAACTGTCTCTCTTGTGAAGTCACAAGTATTTGTGTTGTGATTCTAAAAATGCAAAACAGTAATCTGTGATATGGAGGTTCAGTTTCACAAAAGATATTCTTCTTATTAACTTATTAAGAAACTCAGGGAACTTAATAAATGTATAATTGATGTTCTTACTTACTATATCAAAACACTGTGACAAATTTTTATGAAAAAGGTCTGCCAAACACAACTGATAGAAAGAATTAAAAACAGCCGGGATAACATAGTCAGTATAGCGACTGGCTACATGCTGGATGACCGAGGGGTTGGAACTTTGAGCCCCAGTAGGGTCAAGAATTTCCTCTTCTCTATGTCGTCCAGACTGGTTCTGGGGCCCACCCAGCCTCCTATCCAATGGGTACCGGGGGCTCTTTCCATGGGGGGAGAGCAGCAGGGGCGTGAAGCTGACCACTCACCTCCGGCTTGTGCCAAGGTCAAGAAAATGTGGATCTGTTCATCCACTCCCCCATATGCTTTAATGGCATAGTGCTTAATTACTTAAACACAGGGACAACTTTACCTTTTTAACTCCACAGGGCAGAATGACAGGAAACCAGGTAGTTTCTTTAAAATATATAAATAGGATATCCTATGACAAGAAACCTGTAGTACTCTAGTACTATGTAGATGTATGTGTGTAAACTGTATTAAAAACTAAAAAATTAAAGAAATACTTAGGAATCTTTGGGAGGAGATTGCTTAAGTTCACAACACACATGTAGGATTAATACTTGAGAAGATAATGGTGTGTTTATAATTTGAAAATTTCAAAATTAATTAAATGAATTGAAATTAAAGATGAAAGTTGCTTTCTGTCATTAGAAGAGCCATGTGAATCATGATAATTAATATTCAGTAGTAGTGAAACTAACTATGCATTTTGATAATTTACTATATTTTGAAAATTAAACAATTAGTATATATGTTTTATAAAGGAATTCAGTGATTTCTTTATTAGCTGTATACAGTTAACACTATTATAATTTTTTCTGAACTGATATTTCATAGCTTAAGTTATATCAGTCGGCAAATTATAGTTGGCACTAAATTATATATATTTTATATGGCTAGACAAAAAAGAAACCTTCCAAGGTCAAGTTAAAGATGAAGAATAATAAGTAAACAAGCCTGTTATCTAGAGGAAAGGAGGTTTTACTAGAAAATACGATGAATCTTATATTAGTTTTAGTTTAAACTGAAATATATGACAATGAATATGGGATGTTTCTAGCAACTTATATGATTTCATATTGCCTCATGCATAACTTTTATTTGTGAAGGTTATAATGCCCCAGTTTTTAATAATACATAAAAGTGTAATTTTATATTGTAAATATCTAAGTAAGGATGTTATAATAATAATAATTATTAGAGTATTATTTGCACTGCATAACATGTGACATAGAACACTAGTCCTCAGATGCTGCTGTTTTGCAGGGTTAAGGCAAACAAAATATTAGGCTACTAGCATTTTGAAAACAGTTACTGCATGCAGCAGTTTTCTGTTACAAACAAATAAGTATATTGTGCAAGATTCGAGATTTTCACAGAAGTGACTATGAAGAAAGCAGTCTTCTGGGATGTTGACAATAGTCTATTTGCACCTGCTCACACTGGTTCTTCACTTGCGGATTTTCTTCTTTTTTCTTCTACCCTGAAGATGGAGGTGATACGTTCCTTCGAAACGTCGGTTAACACAATATCTACATGGCGCCACATTCCAGAAGATTGCTTTCTTCAAATAAGTATATTGTCGGTGTCCGTTTTTGCTTGGTTGGCTCTCATATCTTCCCGTAGGTGTGCCATCATTTGTTCCATTTCCACAGTGTGGCAGTAAAATGATCAAATTCCACTTTTGACACCAGAATGTCATGCTTCAGGGGTGCGACTATAGACAGGGTTTAGATTTACTGACCACTTGTATACACCACTCAGAACTACAAATAATTACAGCACTATTACTGTTCTCCACATTTTACAAATCACTAGCACATGCTAAGTCTTCTCAGTCTTCACTAGACATTTCCCGGCAACGGCTCCAAACAGGGGAGATTCTTCAGCTTCCTGCACTCAAGTTCTCTTGTCACAGTCACCCGTACAGAACTCAACCCAACTCATTCAACTATAGTGTCATCTTTCCTCAGCCTCCCTTGTGGACCTCAACTGAACTGCCAAACCTCAACTATGTCCCATGCTGACAGCCATTTCATGCCAGCCTCATAATTTTCTCATCACAGGCTGAATTTCAACTGACAATTTAACTATATTGCCATGTCTTCTCAGCCTGCCTTGCAAAACTCAAATCTCAGCTGATTAGGTTGCCGCATTTGTGTTCCTCTTTGCATGGACTGACTAGAAAACATAATTTTTAAAAATAACTTTATTGTTGTGTGCATATTCATTGCCGTAGGAACGTGTTTACCGTTCTGTTGCCTAGAAACAAGTTGTGTAACATCATTTATTAATAATCTGCTACCCCAGCAATGGGTGTTTTTAGTCACCTATCTCATTGCATAGCAATGGCTGTACATGCTACAATATAATGAAATGAACAGTAGGTCAATCCAGTAGAAGATTCTTAAACATGAGACTCCAATCCAATAATTGGCCTTCAGTTCTCTATACAAACATAACACTTACTTTGGAGTGAAGGGTTTTGTAGTGCTGTTTGCTGCTGATGTCAAGCAAGTTCATTTATGGTGCCAACTGGCAATCTGTTCATACCGGAATGAGTGGGGGTGATGACGTTAGAGGCATGAATTGCGTATGCAGAGTTATATATAGAGAACTAATTCTGTCAATTCTTGATATGTAAGCATGAATTGGTTATTTCTGAGACTGAATGATCATAAAAGAATAATTTATATACTACTCTATTATTTACAATTGTTACCTTAAATCTTCATTTAGCTCATGCTGGGATAGATTCTATGTATTCTAAAGAAATTACCCGTCTTCCTGATACTTTATATATTTTCCACAAAGTGATTGTTAAACTTGTATCACATCATCTTCTGTATTTCTACATTAAGTTGCTGACAAGACGTCAAATATTACTGCCAAGGCCTACAATATTATTTCAATGGTATTCTGTATCTTTAGAACATATGACACATGACTCCACGTTTTTCAAGTGGGAATCATTTTAAACATATGTATTTATTCTACAGTATTTTAAATTAATTATTTCACAACTAATTCTGAATATAATTCAAATGCACTGAGTAAAATTATTCCATATTTACTATTTGTCAATAAATGCATTTTTAAGAATATTTATAATTATAATAATTTTAAGTCATTCTTCCAATGTATTTCTTTCTTAAAGAATTAATGGGATAAGAAATGCTTACTTTTCAGGGTCAAAATGATAAGACCCAGTTAAGCTAAATAAAAATATCTGCTTTTTATTCAACTATTGTACATGTATGAAGCTTGTGTCTTGTTTGTTTAAAGTCAGGGAATTGATATATTAGATTTACACTAACAGTAGGTAAATCACCCATACAAGCAGATAGCATGACTGAAAGTTGATGGTCATCTTCAAGGGAGAGCAAAGAACTTTAAGCTAGCAGTCATCACATTTAAGTGAACTTGCATATGACAATTCAGAAGACAGGATAAATCATTAAAATTCAAAGAATTGCAAACAACTTGTTAACATGAAGCCTGTTGAAATAATGTCAAAAATGCTTTCATACTTGCATATCTAATTCAAGAGGAAAACACATACATATGTAGAACTTCCCCACCTCCAAAAAATATGAGATGATAGTGATATAATGACTTAATCCAAACTAAAAAACCGTGAATTTTCTAACTTGCAGTGTGTCAGAACTTAAAATTCTTTCCAGCTTATAGCACGAATGACAGTGTTAAAAAATTCAAACAAGAAAACAAATGAGATTGGAGTTCTATATTGTTAACATATTTTATTTGTGATTTACAAAATAACAAGTCCATGGAGATGAGCTTCAAATCAGCACATTGTAGTCATGTCACTTACCTGATCAGTATTCTATTAAAGTAGTAGTGAAAATGAATCACACCAGAAGCTACAGATCAGCACAATATACTGCAGTAGAACTATTTTCCCTCAGTTCAGTAGTCCATCATAAGAACAGCATTTTATGTGCTCCCATTACAATGTTAAACCTGTCGAAAATTAAATCATCTCATAATTTGGCAGCAATGTCTCATTAAGAAACCATCACATTAATGACAACAGCTACAGAACAGATTATCAGATAAAGACACAATGCAGTCCTTTAAGCAGGCCCTCGCTTCTTTAGGGATAATGATCTTCAGTATTTACTATAAATATTTCTTGTACCAATATGATGCATGTCATGCTAATATCTTGAAAAAGAATTAGAGGAAACAAAATCTGAATTCACTCATCAATTATTTTAAAGCATCCATCTAAGTAAAGGATGTTACAGTAGTGTGTGTGTGGGGGGGGATAAACAGTCTTAATGATAAAGCACTCATATTAGTGTTATCAACTAATGAAACCAGAATGCATGAAAAGTTTTAATTTGGGAACATCCAAATTAAATAAAAAAAAAAATTATGAAACTGTGCTGTAACAGGGGAGCAATGGTAACACATCAACACTGATCTCAACTGCAGGCAATAGTGCTTGCCTTTGTCCTTGATGTCTGAAATGCAATCAGCTGAGCATGCTGTAATGAGAGGACACTTAAAGTGGTAACACATCTATCTTCAGCTCAAGAGTCCTGCTATAAATAGTGCAGGCAAGGCAGGCACCCAGACTTGCTTTATATAATACTAGCTCCTCTTGAGTGGGGCAGACTTCATCAGCCTTCAGAACAACACAGTTCTGGGCTCAATACAGGACTGTCAAGATGCCAAAGTGCATCAGCCCAGACTGACAGTGAACATTTTATATCGAAGAAAGAGGTCTTGTCTAATTCTGTTGATTAAAGAATTTAGGGCTCTGCTCTTTTGTTGAGGGTTTAAAATTAGTTTACCAATCCTCTGAATACAAGGATGCCAGCCTCTAGTGAAGTCTCAGTCTTTAGGGGATGGCAGAAGCCGCCTACACACTTGTATGCAGACAACTATGGCTATGCCTTCAACTTCTACCAGCCTATGATAGAATATCTAGACAATAAGGAAAAGAAATTAAAGCCAAAGGAATATCCTCATCTGCCTTGGAATAACGAAAGAGGACTTGACCGTTACAGTTCCAGAAATCTTGTTCGATCATATACAGAACAGGACATTCATAAACTAGCTGAGAAAGCAGAGAAGCAGGCTAAGGAAGATTTGAAAAAAAATAAAATAGCGAAAAGAACAAACTTTTCAATTTCGAAATCTGCATCTGCATCATTAGTAACAAAACACATCAAACAAGTGACACTGAAAAGGGTGAAGAGCCAAGGCAGAATACAAGACATGGATGAAGAAGGACTTCTTCTAGAGGGTGAGAACTTCACAGATGCACACAAGTTTGCTCAGGAGTTTCTACGAGGAAAATCAGCCAAAGGGATTGAGGCACATATATTGGCTGAAAGTTTGAGAAATATCTCCTCAAATACAGGGATTGACATCAAGGCTTTCCAGCGCAGATCTGAACTATCATCTCATGACTCAGAAGAACATACACGCTTCATGGAGCAGAGGCAGAAGACACAAAAAGAGGAAACTTCCATAACACAACCCTTGGATGAACTGAAAGTTGAACTTAAGGGATTTAATAGGAAGACATCACAATACTTTGAAGAAAAAAGGTATTTACATTACTACTGTGATAGTGCAGTGAAGCATAAAGAAAGAGTGTGATGTGTTGTAAATGTTGCACATGGAGTTTATTAATATTCTTAAAAACATGTTACCAACTTCTTGCTGTGTAGTGTAGCAGTATAGCCCAAGTTATTGGTTAAATCTATATTAGTGCTACTTATATTCAGGAGCACACAGAGCATGTCATTCTGATAAAATGTCTGTGGTTTTTCTCAGTTTTTAAAAGCAGATGCCAAGGATACGATGGCTTCTTTCCTCTGGTACCTGATATATAAATTCATAACAGTCCTAAAGTTTGTCAGCAAACAAACCATTATGTAGCTGTGCAAGGACAGTACAATTATAAAATTGGTTTTCTAGGAGGAAATGAGGGAAATTCATAAAATTTCCTGTTGAATAGTACTGAACAAAACACTGTAAACAGAGTGAGATGTATTATTTGTTTCAAGCAAATACAAAATTGTGTTCAAATGTGTTGCAGCAAGCAGACCAGCATTGAAATTGAGCAGCTGAATGCTCGTGTTGTGGAGGCAGAGACTAAGCTGAAGACTGAGGTGACACGCATAAAAAAGAAGCTGCAGATCCAGATTACTGAGCTAGAGATGTCCCTGGATGTTGCCAACAAGAACAACATTGAACTGCAGAAGACTATCAAGAAGCAGTCACTCACACTTACTGTAAGTATGAGCAAGCACTGCAATTATATTGTCCATTGTCTGACTTATATTTAATACACCATATGTTTCAGATATAGGCTCAATCCCATATCCAAGTAATTGGTCATCATTATTCTAAGAGTTGTGTTCTTTTTATATTAACAGCAACATTTGGGTTTGAACTCTAATACTAACCTACATCTCTGCACTTTTAGTACTTTCTTAGTGATCCAACAGAATAGGCGTCTCCCACCCCCTCACCCGAGAAAGAAGACAGATCCTAGTTTAGAATAACAGACAATGGTCAAAGTTAAAAAACCCAGTAATCCAAAACAGAAAACATAGCAGATAGCAGTAATTACAGCAAATACATATAAAATTTGGAGCTAAAATTTTCAACCTGGAGTTCAAAGAACAGATAACACAAAGAATTACTTAAGTTAAATAATAAGTAACTAATTGTCACAGTTATAATACAAAGGCATATATTTTATTAGTATTGCAATATATTTTGAAACACTTTCTGTAATAATGAATGCCTTTTCTTCTGGTGATACATATGGCTATGTGGCACCTTCCTTCATAAAAGTAATGAACATTAAATTCACCACCAAAAAAGGGGAATAAGAGAACCCGAAGGGTTAACTTTTTAATTGGTGTTTATTTTTGTCCCCAAATTGTAAAAATTTTACTCCAGCTTAGTTGCAGCTGAGTACTAAAATACAAGATGTTTAAAAGTATTGTCTATTTTATCCAATACAAACATGAGACTTTCAAGAGGCCATCATTATTAAATTGGTGTATCATAAGAGTATCGCTTTTCTTTTCCTTGGCATCTTATCCTAATTTTTACCCAGGCTTGTCTACAGGTTTTCTAAGTTGTTATTAAAGGGAAAGGTATGACTTTCTGGAATGGCAAAGGTATAAAATTAACTTGTTTTCTTAAGAAGTTGTGTTGTTAGTTTTTATCTTGATAAATACTCATGTTCTTTTGGTTCAGTTAAACTTATCAGTAGGTGAACTTTGTAACAATAACAACACTCCTATTCCAAAATTCTTCTGAAATTCACTGCTTGCTTTCTATATTTTATGTTACCACAGTAACAAATGCTCAAACATTCACAATCATATTTTAGGCATGTGTTGTAGGTAGAGAGTTAAAACAGTGTGAAGGTATATATTTAAAAATTTTGGTTCTCATGTGGATGTGTTTGACATGTACACTTTTAGAATATGGCATGTTCTGCTCATTGTATTCCAAGAGACAGGACCATTTTTTGGGAGTGTTTTACCATAAAAATGAAATGCTATTGGATGTTTGAATATATTTTGGGAGCAAGTTTTACCATCAGAATAGAATGTTATCTGCATAAGTACAGATTTATATAAGGTAGTTCAAACTGTGGACATATAAAACATTGCAGCAGCTATATTCACAAATACTACTGGGAAAACATTTTTAGTTCAAAATATCATCAAAACCGAAACTATTTAGAAGACTTAACTCTTTTCTTTTTGTTAAGGAATGATGAACATTTTCATTCAGATCTCAGAAAACAGCCTTTTTACCATGTAAGTCAAAAATAGGAATTTTATTATTCATTTACTAGTACTGCAATATTTCATCGAAGTGGTGCTGGAAGACCTCAGCTTACAGACACTAAAGCAAAGCATTGGGCATACATGGGTACAGACTAATTATATGGTACCACCTTTGAGACAGTAGCAATTACCAAAATGTTTCATCAGTTGATTTGGATTCATAGAGTCACGAGGAGAAATTGTAGGAAGTTTATATGAAAAGTGATATATGGTCACAGTTAAGTTTACTTAAATGTAAGGAAAATATGAAGACAATGTCCAATGAAAGATATTTCTGCAGACTGACTTCATGAACTTGGAGATGACATATTGGGAGAATTATTACAAATAATAGATAACTGATTTTCTATAGATACATACTGTATGCATTATCTTTTTGGTGACCCTATTAATTTATTGACAAACCATATTTAAAATCTATAACAAAAAGCCATTAGAATTAAATGACATATTGGATAAAACTTCCTGATGAAGTTAAGGAACACTACATTAGGACCAATGACGACACTCTCTGGAGTTTCTACACAATACACAAACACAAATTGAAAGGTGGAGCAATATTAATGTTATTATGGAACATAAACAACATTCAAAGATTATTCGATGGATGTCTTCATCAGTAATATATCACAAAATAATAGCTGAGGTTTTTCAAAGAAATATGGCATTCATTCTTAGAATAACATTCAGTGCTCTGGGGCAAATATACCATAAATACTCAAAAGAAAACTGTTTCCAATCAGGCTGTCTACTCAATGACAGCAGCACACAAGCTCAAACTTTAAAAAAAGTAGGCGCTAAGCCCACATTTATGAATGGGCAGCTTTATGCTGCATTCTCAAGAGTGACAAATTTTGACTGTGATGAATTATTACAAAGAATCTTTATGTTTACAGAAATAAAATTGTGTTACAATATGCAGAGTTAATTACAGTTATCATTCCAGTTATGAATAAAAAATCAGGTACACATGTAGGAAAATAAAAAATTTGATTGGCTTGGGGGAGAAGCATCTCCTGAGCACTGCTAAATAATTAATATTTTCTAACAACAGAACACAGGCTTTTTAGAAAATTGCAGCAAGCATCATTATGTTAATACAATTTGAATTTAGTTTATGTAATATTTGTATATTTGTGACTAAAAGATGATTATTAATGTAATAGGCTTAATTGTACTGTTACATTTAATCAAAACATAACATAAAAATATTTACATTTTCAAACTTGTATAAACATGTAGTCAGAAAAACTGCCCACTATGAAGACTGCATACAATCAATACATGAGTCCATAATGTTGATGATTATTAAAACCAACAAATTCTGTTATGCAGGAGCTCCAGGCACATTACGATGAAGTTCAGCGTCAGTTGCAGGTGACTTTGGACCAATATGGTATTGCCCAGCGCAAGCTTCAGTCCATAACTGCTGAGCTGGAGGAGGTCCGTGGAAACTATGAGGCGGTACGTTCTCCTAGCAGCCAACATTTTCAATTGTCTGCTGTAAACAGCTTGGATCTGCCTATAAAACTGTCCAAGTTTCCTTTAATTTATTTAATTTTATCTAGAAGTACAGATAAATTTTTGCCTGTACCTAAGCACCTTGCCATAGAAGGCAGCAGTCAGCTTCGTACTCAAGCCTCTTTATCTCCAAGAAAGGAGCTCCTGATACCTATCAGGCAGGAGGCTGTGTAAGTCCAAGACCTGATTTGGACATGTTGGTGGAAAGAAAAACCCTTGCCCCTACCAGGAATCAGGCCTTAGTTGTTCAGACCATATTTAGTCACTTTGCTCACACAGCTATGTTCGAATTGCTTTATTTTTTCTAAAGTTCAGTGAAGTGGCAAACATGTCACGTCCCATATCAGATTAAATTCTCACAAAGAAAACTTGTCTTGGCACAGCATTGCATTCTGCAGAGAATGCCCATGTCTGAGACCAGGCTGTGAGAGGGCTGTATAATGAACAGCATGGAAGAATAAGTTAAATCACCATCATTAACCTTCTCAGTATCTTGTATGGAGATTATAAAACAGGAGCTTTTAGCCTTTCAGATTCTTAACTAATATTCTTCTTATAAGTTTACAACTAAAAATCTGTCTTTTGGTTACAGATCGATGTTTCTCATAATTTTACTCAAAGATGTCAAAACACCGTCAGTTACAATAAGCATCATTGTGCTGATTTTAGGCTTTCATGGTTTGTTCAGTGTTTATGTTAATTCAACTCTTGGGTTTTTACACCATACAGATGTGGTCAGCATTGCTGTTTCAGAGGCACATACTGCCTCCATTCTCAGGCTTGATTTTGATCTTGAAGATGGAGGCAGCATGTACCTCTGAAATATTGCCAACACTGTCCAAATCCACATGGCATAAAGGGTCAAGGGCTGGGTCAACATCTTCATATTGGACATTTCCCAACTGTATCGCTGTTAGGTCTGTACCTGTACTTGTTAGGTACAGGTGAGGAATTGGTACAACTGAGACCCATGTATTGCTGTAAATGATTTGAATGGAAGAAGGGCTGAAAATATTTTGTCGCATGTACAGGCGCTGCGGGCCAAGCGAACTGCTGAACAGCTGTATGAAGAGGCCATCAGCCGAGTAAATGAGCTGACGACAATCAATGTCAATTTGGCATCTGCCAAGTCCAAGGTTGAACAGGAGCTTGCCACACTAGCTGGGGACTATGATGAGGTCACCCGTGAACTCAAGGTATGTTTAAACTCAGAACTTACAGCATCAAAAATAACAGTATTAACTATGTTAGATACATTCTCATACCTTCCTAAATTAGGAAGAAATTGGGGGGAGGGGGGACAAATGTTGAATTTCCATTCATACAATGAATTCTTTAATTAAAAAGCATACAAAAAACCAACAAACCTGCAAAACTGGAAATACAGAATTCTTTTACAATTCCATAGGCACTTATATTGGCAATCTTGGAGAAACTAAACATCCTTATTTTGAGTCTGGCCAGGCCAGGGATGAAGCCCCAGTACAGTACTGCATGTGATAATTTGAATTCTGGCCTGATTAAATGTAGATATAATGGCAGTGACAGATAAGTATACAGCACTGGTGGAAATACAAAAAACAAATTGCTTTGTGGTTGAGGTTGGGGGGAGGGGGGGGACCTGACCCACTGCCACTTTATTCTCATCAGATTCCACATGAGATTGAAATTAGATTTCCATGGTCAGAAACTGGTATGTTTGTCACTGAATTTTTTGCCTCTTTTTTTTGTTTGCAAAATCTCCATTTAGTGCCTTCTAAGAGACAATGGATTTGACTTTAAACTGTGGAAAATCATATATGAAGGCAATTGAACAGTGATACAACTGGTCCAAAACCACAGAAACTTACACAGTTTCATTGCAAAGGAAATTTCTAGGGAGTCATCTTAATGTATTTGTGGTTACTGGAAAGTATATATGCTGTTCTAAATTTAACTAAATCTGATCTCTAATTGATGTGTCCCAACTCGCAGCTTTCCTGAGATGCTGTAGTCAGTGTGAAACAGACTCTCCAGTTCATGTCTTAGGGAGCTATGTCTTCTATGTTCAACCATACTTTAAAATAAATAATTTAATCTAATTTAATAATGAAGAGGCCTTTCCTCTGTCTGACCATCACATTAGCTTGTTCTTCAGCATTTCTTTACCATTATAATCACAGGCGGCCGATGAACGCTACCAGCGTGTTCAGATTGAACTGAAGCACACTGTTGAAATTCTGCATGAAGAACAGGAGCGCATTGTGAAGATTGAGGCTATCAAGAAGTCCCTGGAGATTGAGGTCAAGAACCTGTCTGTGCGCCTGGAGGAAGTGGAAGCCAATGCTATTGCTGGTGGCAAGCGCATCATCAGCAAGCTGGAGGCCAGAGTAAGTTAAGCACATTCACAGACCACTTGATTCTACAAGGTTTACAGCCCCTAAAAATGGGTACACCATACTTATGTTGGGTATTATCTGTAAAGTAGGGCAATTACACGGGAAATTAGTTATATCTACCTACACTCCACTGTGTGATTGTTTTGTCAAAACATTTAAGAAATTTCCTTTCACTGCCATACTTATTTGGCAATCAAAAGTAAAATATGAGGAAAAAATGTGGTAATCTGTTCACATTTATTTTCTGAATTCTGTTTACAAAGCCTCTTATCCTACTATGTAAACTTCATTCATATAGGCCCAGTGGGGTCACCCCCATTTAGTAATACGTTTGCTTCAGTCTCACTCTTTTTTACCCACTTATCCCATTTTCTTTTTTTCATTTGTACTCTCAACATAAAGCCACTGTTTTAAATATTTGGCCCTTGACAACTTTCAAATGTACATTTACAATATGGATTTCATGTAACCAAAGCAGAGGCATGACGACAATATTTGATGTTAGTACAGGCTGGTCAGATGTTTGTTCATTTATATCAAGTAGTGTTGCTCTCCAGGATGATGTGAGAAGAAAATGTATTTTAATTCTATTTTTTATCATATATAGGCATGTAATATTGAACAGAATCAGTGTAATGACCTGTCATAAACTGAAGTTCCATACCCTTGTCCTTCAATCTATACTAAATAACCTAATTCACATACCTGCTGTTAAGAAATGGAAGGCAACAAAAGCCTGTACTATTAGAACACAATGCAACAAATATTTACAGATATGCCCACAGCAAACCCCTTAATTTATGCTGAATATTGCCCATAGACAGTTATTCTTTACATCTGTTGCTGTATAAGATGGCAGATATAATTCATCTTGTGTCTCAGTATTTTATATATTTAATAGCTATATTCTTCTTTTTCTTCATAAGGCTCGACAGCTTTATTTCTTAAATGCCTTGGCCTGCTCAACAATTTCTTATAGCTATATTATTGTTTCAAATTCATTTTACATTTAGGCCTTAGACAATTTTGTAACTGATTCTGTGGTTTACCAAAATTTTAATGACAGGTTCTACTAAACCAGTGTAAACCTGCCAGGTGACAACACTGCATAAGGCCCCTACCCTGTTATGTGAACCCTCTTATCACATAAGCCACACAACCCTAAGTAAACTTGGCATATGTAAACCTCATCTACTACTTAGGGAACTCTACTTACATAAGCCTCATATCCTATTACATAAATGTAGTTACGTGACTTGGAACTGGAGCTTGACGAAGAAAAGCGTCGCCATGCTGAGACACTCAAAATTCTGCGCAAGAAGGAACGCCAGGTTAAGGAAGTGTTGATTCAGTCAGAAGAAGACCAGAAGAATGTTTCCCTCCTCCAGGAATCCCTTGATAAGCTCAACCAGAGGGTCAGCATCTACAAGAGGCAGCTACAAGAACAGGTCAGTTGATCCAGCCTGTCATAACACAGGCACACCAAGTTTCCCTGCTCACATATGTCATGATTTCTAGGATCATAAGTCTAAATATTATTCAGACCGGGAAATTTCCTTTGAGTCCACATGCATGTAATTTGTTACTTTCCTTTCAGTTTCTTTAATGAACCTGCATACTTCAGTATATAGCTAAAGTCTGCAATTGGCAACTGTAATGTATATTATTCATCCACTTCCTCGGATTCTGGGAAATACTTCTACTAGCAGACCATAAACACCAGTATCATATGTGTAGTCCTTAGTTTGTAGATACAGTCATTGGAACAATTCATTACAAATGTCATGTGGAACAGAATACAGAATTGATGGATTATTTTGTTTTTACAGGAGGGCATGTCACAGCAGAGCGTGACACGTGTGCGTCGCTTCCAGCGGGAGCTTGAGGCAGCTGAGGACCGTGCTGACACCGCTGAAAGCAACCTCTCACTGATCCGTGCCAAGCACCGCACCTTTGTCACTACCAGCACAGTCCCTGGAAGCCAGGTCTACCTGGTGCAGGAGACCCACAGAACTGCCACTACAGAGGGAATCTAAACTTAACAAAAAGGGAACAACAGGTATTGGGGGGGGGGGGGGGGGGGGAGAGGGCTGGACAGTCAACATGCAAGGTTGTGGGGTCCTGAAGATATGAACTGCTCTTCCACGAGGACAAGTCTGACATATTTCAAATGAAGAGTAGGAAATTAGCATTTCCTAAGAAGAAAACTGTTAATGGCAGCAGCAGAAACATGATGGAAATCTGTTTTATTTTGTAAATAAATGAGCTTACACCAATTCCAAGGGGTTTTAACTGACCTGCATTCAATATGGTAGATTACAAGCTTATTTCTGCATAAATAACCAATCAAGGCTATTATTAAAATTTTAATTCATTAAGTAAAACAGTAGACTTCCAAAACAAGGAAGTTATGGCAATTTCAGGATTCTAATAGTTTGTTAAAAGATTATTACTATTATTGTATTTTACCTATAACATGTATTTTCAAAAATTAAAAGAAAAATAACAGTGCAGAAATTGTGGGAACACTGTGTTTTGTGCATATGTATGAGACATGGGAATTTAGGAAGACAGCTGGAACATGAGAGAAATGACAATATACTGTATCTTGCTGTAACCTCAAGGCTGGGTGAGGTTGGACAGGACAAGACAAACACAGTATGAAAGCAATGTCTACACTGAAAGATAAAGAAAAATTACATTATCAGTAGCATAAGACTGCTGTTATGCAGCAGAAATCAATGTTTTATTATGTTCGGCTTTTGAAAGACTAAAGGCTGATAAGATGTTAGCCAAAGGAAAGTTCTTAAATAAGGTGCAATATGAAACATTTCAAGTAAGTTGCAAAATAAAATGATTCAAGTAACGTGTTGTTTAGTGATTTCTTCACAGGGCTGAAGAGCTGCACAATAAATATCTCTGTGTAATGTATTATTAAAATATATCAAAATCTAAAAGAAAATGAATCTATTTAAAAATGAAAACTATACTACAGTAATAAAGTTCACATGCTTAAATTACTTCATTTTTTTTTTTTCATTTTGCTTTATGATGATTTCCTCCATAGATGCTTAAATGATCACCAGAGCTTTACTCCTGAAACTAAAGCCAAAAAGACAGCAGAATAGGCAGAATAAAGTAAACCTTACTTCCAATGCTGCTTACATTAGTTGAATTATATTCTTACAAGTTTTATTTTAATGAATTTAGCACAGAACTGGCTGCATAGTATTGTCATGTGTATGAGTGCCTACTGATGAGGTACTGGATTGGAGACTAGATTTACTGACCACTTACAGATCATAACTACAAGTAACTCTAACACTGTCACTAATTTTCACACTTTACAAATCACTACAGTACATGCTAAGTCTCTTCAGTCTGCTGTCACTGGTCGTTTCCCAGTAACTACCTTACAACTGATTAACTTCTAACTCCTTGGCAAAAACTGTTGTTGGACTCCAATTTTTTCTGTTGGAACTTGTTTGTTTGTGAAGGTGTTACTCAGCAATGGCTGCATATACTTGCTTATTAAGAATCTGCTGCCCAACAGCAGAGTTCTTTTGAGGTTGTTACCCAGTAACGAGCCCATGCTTTACATTGCTCCCTCCTTAAGGGTATTTGTAACAAACAGCCTACAAGCATACTGCCATTTCTTCTTTTCCAAGAGCTGTGCTTGTGATGCCTGTGATCAGTATCACCTTTCTCCCTGTGGCTTGGTTCTCACAGTGACTACTCCCTACTTAAGGCTGTTCATCCCAAGCAGTTCCATCATATGATGCCAGTCAATCCAGGGTTACTACCATCATCCTTTTGGGTCGGTGCAGGCAAAAGTTCCGAGAGTGGTCAATGATCCTACATTCATGGCTCTTAAGCTGTTGTTAGCGGTCTCTGCTTTTAAGTAGTTACTATAGGATTCTGACGATGGTGTATAACACACTGATATATTGGGTTTCTGGACTTTATCCATCGTCCTAGTTTTTAAGATAACAAAAACACGACGTTTCGGAAACTGGATCTGTTTCCGTCCTCAGGTGAAGGAAAACACCTATTCAGTTGGGTCCCTTAGAAAGAGCTAGCCTCAATCACTGGATCTTAAAAACTAGGACGATGGATAAAGTCCAGAAACCCAATATATCAGCGGTCTCTGCTTTTGTTTTGGAAGGGGCCGACACCTCCACAATGTCCAGTCACTCATTTTCCTCAGCCTAATGGAAGTACCAATTGTTTGCTTTCCAATCTTCAGCTTCATGGTCTATCTCACGGTCTTGTTGAGTGTTCTCTTGCTTCCCAGATGTAATAGCTCTTTTCGGCTCAGTTTCTTATGCCATTGTTGCATTCTGGTTGCACCTGATGTGCCTTCCCAAATGCACATCTTTTTGATGTTCCTATTGCAACACTGTCCCTGGTCCAATTTTTCTGTTGTCTCTGTTTGACCATTGGTCCTGTATGACCATGTCTCTTATGCCGTGCTGCTCCTGCATGGCGAGTCACCCCTCTGCATGCAGTGGCCAACTTCCTCTGGGACCCACCATCTCCCTGGGTCTGTTTCTTCAGCTGTCAGTGGTGCCCTAATGCAACATGCTGGTCCCCATACTTCTCCTTCAGTGCTCTGGCAGTTTTCACTGCGGCCTCCACTGAGGTTGGCACCTTACTCTCTATACAGGTCCCTGCCTCTTCTAGGAAGGCTTTTATGTCCTTTAGCCCAGTAAATGTCTCGACCTCATATTTTCTAGACAGGCTGTCATCTCTTTTTGCCAAGTATTCATACTGGCTCCCATTCTTTGCTGATGGGTGTCCATCTTGGCTATTATTTTTTCTTGAATGGCCTCTGGTCCTGGGATAGTGGACATCCATCCGGGAGACAAGAGTACTTCAGAATTTCTTGGATGGTTTTCTTGCTTGCTTGGTCTTCATTTCTTCTTTCAGTTTTTCTAGTGAGGTTCTTAATTTGGCCAGCAGGTGTGCCATCATTTGTGTGGCAGTGTAATGATCAACACTGAATGCAGTGTCCAATCCAACCATTTCTGACACCAACTGCCATGTGATGCAGTGACTATCGATGGGGTTTTGGTTTGGAGGTCAGATTTATTGATCACGGTAACATACGACTTGTGACTACACTTAATTATAGCGCCATCACTAATCTCCACACTTTACAAATCACTACAGTACATGCAAAATCTTTTCAGTCTGCTGTGTCTTCACCAGTCATTCCCTGGTAACGGCTTCCAGCAGTGGGAATTCTTCAACTGTACTGGACTAAGTCTTCTCTTCAGACTTACTTAAACTCTCTCTTGAACTTCCAAACCCACCACAGTTATATCATCTCAGCACAGATTGTGCAGAAAACAATGTTCATTGTTGTATTCCAATCAATTCTGTGAGGACATGTTTGTTTGCAAAGGCATTACTCAGCATTGGTTGTGTATACTCGCTTATTAAGTTATTTGCTGCCTAGCACCAGATGTTGTTTTGTGTTTCTTTTGAGGCCATTACCCAGTAATGGGCCTACACACTACAGTATTAATAGTACTATTCAACATCATTTTCTAAAATGTAACTGGCTAACAAGAGTGCAGCACACAGAACATGAGAATGGCATACACTTACTATTAATAATCACGGCCTATAAAACCAGCCTGTGGGCTGCAATATCAAGACAAGTAATAATGAACTGGATACCTGTAGGAAAAAGAAGATAAGACAAAGAAAAAGGCATGGAGGAGCAGAGGTTAAGAATTTGCAGCAGTAAGTATACATAACATCACAAGACTATATCTACACTCTATGTCATAAGGTAGTACTAGTAAATATGTGCTTCCTGTGTGGTTTCCACTCCCACTACACCCAGGCCATAAATAAATATAAGATAAAAAATTATCAAGTATCATAAACTTTCTAACACATTCACACAGACTAGAGATACAACTGAAGCATGCACTCCGACCACAATGACAAAAATGCAAACAAAAAACTCAATAGTCATGAAATGTATTTACAACTGGCAACACAATGCATAAAATATCAATACAGAAAACAGTCAATTTTCAGGGTACAAATATAAAACAAATTGTAATTGAAATGAAAGATCTCTTAAACCAGAATACAATGCCAGAGAAACCTTGATCAGATGGAAGCACATCAAATACTTCGCTCATGTTAATAAGTGTTTCTCCTCTGTACCACTGTCACAACGAGAAAGTTAACTGCACAAAAAAGTGGCAGCGTTTCTGAAGGCACTTATTACAGATCATAAATACAAGTAACTATAGCTCTATCACTAATTCACACTCAGCAGTTTACTACAGTATGTACTTAGTCTTCTCAGTCTGCTGTCTTCACCAGTCATTGCTTAGTAATCACTTCCAATGCCGTAAATTCATCAACTTCCATGTTACTGGCTGGTGACTGTTTATAGAGTAATTACTTAGCAACATGTCCACATGCTAAAATATTAACTTAACTCAGTTTCTTTTTTCTATAGTGAACATACAATTTTACACCAAATATACAATATTTTATGAACCTTTGAAACATGCACAAAACTGATGTTAGAAATTAAGCAACATTAAATGATTATACTCATCACAATATCAATATAATCATTACCATACAGCTGATGAATATATATATATAAACATATTACAATCTATATAAATAAAAATGTAAATGTGCGTTTGTCCGTGTTCTTAAATCTCCGAAAGTTCTTCACCGATTGCTTTGAAATTTTGATACAACCTTGCATTTGAACACGCGCGTTTTTATATACCTATTATATAGATGTCACTCCCGTGACAGGTAAAAACAGTAAAAAACGTTATACGTCGTCCATCGAATACCAACAGATCGTTGCCTAGGAATAACCGTGGCAACGAACTGTTGAAACAGCGGATCACTGCCTAGGAATAACCGTGGCAACAAGCTGTTGTGGCAACGAAATTTTCGTTTTGATTTTATTATTACGTGTTACATTGCGTTGAAATTGGGCTGAGTCATTTACCGTAGCGTTCATTTCGTGAGTATACTTTATTTTTTGTTGAAGAAAGCAGTCTTCTGGGATTTGGCACCGTGTATATATGGTGTTAACCGACGTTTCGGAGGAACGTATCGCCTCCATCTTCAGGGTAGAAGAAAAAGTATAAGAAATCTGCAAGCGACAAGACCCTGAGAACGAAATCTTACTTATTTTTTGTTGTTTCTCATTTCGTTTTCTTAACTGTTTCCCTTATTTTTCGGTGCAATTGGCGGTGGGATTAGGCTGTGTCGATTGATCTGCGTTTGAATTGAAATATTTCGTTAGTATTTTTTATTTTTTTTTTGTTTCTTCGTTTTCCAGTTCGTGTTTTTTCGTTTTTTAACGTTTTGCAATTTCATATGTTTTTGTTATAACTTTCTTTCTTCTTCTTCAGTGCAGTCGTTTCCATATTAACGCTAGAACAGACCATTGCATAGGATAATAGGTTCTGTTGCGTAACAACGGATGAAACCGGAAAGTATACTTCCATGAAAACGCGAGTATCACAGGGTCACGAGTATCACAAGAGATTCCGAGTGAAATCAAAGCAGAAACAGTTTCAATTTATTTTCATTTTGATTTAATTATTTCGTGTTACATTGCGTTGGAATTGGGTTGTGTCATTTACCATAGCGTTCATTTCGTGAGTATAATTTATTTTTCATTGTTCTTCATTTCGTTTTCTTTACTGTTTCCCTTATTTTCCGGTCCAATCGGCGGTGGGATTGAGCTGTGTCGATTGATCTGCGTTTGAATTGAAATATTTCATCAGTATTTTTTATTTTTTTTTTGTTTCTTCGTTTTCCAGTTCGTGTTTTTTCGTTTTTTAACGTTTTGCAATTTCATATGTTTTTGTTATAACTTTCTTTCTTCTTCTTCAGTGCAGTCGTTTCCATATTAACGCTAGAACAGACCATTGCATAGGATAATAGGTTCTGTTGCGTAACAACGGATGAAACCGGAAAGTATACTTCCATGAAAACGCGAGTATCACAGGGTCACGAGTATCACAAGAGATTCCGAGTGAAATCAAAGCAGAAACAGTTTCAATTTATTTTCATTTTGATTTAATTATTTCGTGTTACATTGCGTTGGAATTGGGTTGTGTCATTTACCATAGCGTTCATTTCGTGAGTATAATTTATTTTTCATTGTTCTTCATTTCGTTTTCTTTACTGTTTCCCTTATTTTCCGGTCCAATCGGCGGTGGGATTGAGCTGTGTCGATTGATCTGCGTTTGAATTGAAATATTTCATCAGTATTTTTTTGTTTCTTCTTTGTTTTCCAGTTCGTGTTCTTTCCTTTTTTAATGTTTTGCAATTTCATTTTTTCTTCTTATAACTTTCTTTCTTCTTCTTCAGTGGAATCGATCTGCTTTAGTTCATCCAAATAATGCCTCGCAGAAGATCAAACTTAGGTCGTCGTACTCATGGAGCGAAAGCAATGCGTCGAGTAATTTCAAATCAGACTGGGGAAGAACGGGCACACTGAGCCACAGCAAGGCGTGGCCAGGTACAGCTAGTTATATAAGTAAATTAAGATTGAATACACAATTCACTGTAAAAAAATATCGGCTTAAATACTTTATTGGTAATCCAAAATTGATACACAGAGAAAGCATTGGCTGATGAACTAGAACAAGTGTTCAAAGTGCCAACCATTAGCTTGTAGACACTTCTGAGTTCAGCAGACTAGTGCATGAGCAACCATGGAGAAGGTGTCCACTGATATAGCAGCACACATTTCAATTTCTTCCCGCGATGTCTCCAGTGTTGGTGGTTTCCTGTGTTATACCACATTCTTCAGGTACTCCACAAGTAAAAATGCATGACATAACATTAAGGAAGACAGTACTTTATAAAGTCACTACCATGAGAACCTCAAATCTCACAGTACAGATAGTTCCCAGCTACAAACGGCATTAAGGACATCATCATATAAGAACAACTTATGAAGTGTAAGTTATTAACAGAAAGACAACACAGAAGACTGAATTATACTTTTAATGGAAAAATCTGCTTCTGTTATCTACAGGGTGAATCATATAGAACTGGCCCAATGAATTTGCTAATAATTCCCCAGGTGAAGCATATAACCGCTCACAATTACGACATAATAATTCGTGGGCCGTGCTGAGTCGAATGGTGTGCACATGATCTGGCAAGTGGCAGCCCTTATGCTGCAAGGTCAAGGACAATCCCGAAACGTGTCTGCAGTGTGCAGGCGACAGTCATGGAGTACACTGTTGAACAGAGAGTGTTTCTCGTGCACACATACTGGGTGACAGACTCGATTGTGAACACACAATTGGAATTCAGGAGGAAGTTTGGAGTTCGCAAGAAGCCAGCAAAATCGACTATACAGTCCTTGGCTCAGAAATTGGAAAGGACAGGGACACTTTTAAGTGAACGTGGTAAAAACTGCCCAGAATTGCCAGAAGAAACGATTGCAATTGTGCGGGACAGGTTACTGCAGTCTCCCAAGAAATCATTACGATGTCTAAGCCAGGAAACCGGGTATTCTTATTCAACGTGTCAACGGGCTGCAAAGAAAGCGAATCTTTGTCCCTACAAGATAACCAGTTTTCAGGAATTGGGTGATGTTGATAAAGATAAACGGGCACGGTACTGTTTATGGTTTCGGGAATTCGTGCACGATAACCCCAGAATTTTTAATATCACTTGGTTTAGTGATGAAGCATGGTTCCGCCTATCAGGATATGTAAACGCACAAAATTCCAGGATCTGGGCATCTGAAAACTCACATGAGATTGCTGAATCACCACTACACCCACAAAGTGGGTGTGTGGTACGCCATTTCTGGTTTACGAATCATTGGACCAATCTTCTTCAACACGACCATGGACAGCACCTTATACTGCCATATTTTTTACGATTTCGTGCAGCAGCTGGATGATGTGGAACTTACATAGGGTTATTTTCAGCAGGAGTCAGCAACGTGCCACACGTCCAACATGTCCATGGAACTGATTGAGAGCTTCTTCCCCGATCGCGTCATCTCTAAAAAGATGTGGGCCCCAAAATCCCCCGACCTTACCAGCCCGGATTTTTTTCTCTGGGGTTTACTGAAGGACAGGGTCTATGCAAACAAATCGCGTACGTTACAGGATTTAAAGGACAACATTTCGGCTGAAATCAGGAACATCACTGAAGAAACACTGCAGCAAGTCACGGTGAATATGCAAACGCGGGTGAAGGCATGCCTACATGAAAACGGTGGACACTTTCAACACCTGCTCTGATCACAGCACACAATCCAAGATAAGATATGTGTAAATTACTTTAATATCTGTATGGTAGATTTTATATTATGGCTTATTTTGGCAGGCTGGTTCTATATGAATCACCCTGTACTATGTAAATAATGATAAATTTCTAACCAAATCCATGGAGCTGAACCCTTCTTGAGAAGCCGCCAGTTGTGCAGTTACTCAAGAATTTCCCAAAACTTAATGGAAGCCGAAAGTTCTTTACAGTGTTCACAAGACCTTCTTACTGGTTCCTATCCCAAGTCAGATCAATCCAGTCCATACCACCCCATCCTATCTAATTCATCCATCCACCTACATTTATGTCTTCTTAGTGGTCTCTTTCCTTCTGGCTTTCCCACCAAAATCCTACAGTAAAGATAAATTACTGTAATAGTTAATTGCAATAGTTCATGGATGAAGAAATTATGGATGAAACATGCTTACATACTGGACAATAAATTGAGGAAAACATAATAGGGTGGATGGTACACAAGAAATCATGGCACAACAGACATGATGAAATCAACAAGACAAAATGGCAAAGCCAACAGATGTGAAAACAGTAAACCAAAATGAGGAACTGACTGCTCATTTTCTTTCCATACAATTCAAAACTGAAGTGGAGATTCTTGAGGGACTTACTCAGAGCAAACCCAAACCTGAACTGGAATACAAGAACTCTTCTGAAAAATTGTACTGACAGCACAAAGATCAATAACCCAAAAAGTCTGATTATATCATTCTATCTGGGCCACAGTTCAAATGATTCTTCTCATATTGCATACTCACTTATTGGTTTGAGTGTATTGAACTGTATGGAATCCAAAACCCACTTTTCATCAACACACTTAATGTGTTTATATCGCACAGGGGAGCTGTTCCCCACCAACAGACAAGCAGAGCGGGTTGAAGTCACTATACACCCACCACATAATGTGATTAACTCTTCCAAGTCTTGCTTGGGTGGTATACTATTCCTAGTCACACAGATAGCACCACAAGTGCTGAACAAATCCAGACTGTATACAGGCCCAAATGACAATTTCTGCAAGCGACATTGCTGCAAAAGAAAATACAATCATTTTTTTTCATATATATATATAATTCTTTTCATATTTCTGTTATACAAAGGCAGAAACTGAAAAGTTCATTTTAACCTTCATTAATACCGACTGGTGGCAATATTAAGAAGGTAGCATGATAACACCTCTGAATTATATCAATAACTGCTACTTTTCACAGTGGCTTCTTTGCAAAGTTTTGTACCACCCCTGTATTTTTAGGAAATCTGAGTCTGATGTCTGGAGTCATGCCCTCTACTAAAATCTATAGCATGTCAAAAGGTTGACCTGCTTCCACTTACAAATGTTATATCTACATCCATGTATTTATCGTCTGTCAATATTGCAACACTTGTTTATTCACTACTTAATTTTAATTTTAGTTTAACATTATACACTTTGACACTACATGTTTTGGCCCCAAATGGCCATCTTCAGGTGTCTTGATATGTTAAATATTTTATTAAATTATGTTAAAACTGCTACACTGTCTTAGTCCGTGTTAAAATCACACGCTGTAGTTCTCCTTTCAAGGTGAAACCAGATAAGCCCTTTAAAGTTTCTATTATACCCATGTTATTTTGGTGCATTTTATTTCATCTCACATGGGGTATCATTCATTGTTTATAAATGTATGTCTGTCCGGGGTGTTTTTATTTCGGCAGCTTGCCCCTCACTTTCGTAGCCTACTTTTCAGTTATGACTGACATATGTCCCTGGTTTGTGTGTTTCCTCCACAGTGTGTGGTGTTGTCTTTACTAGACTAGACATGCAAACCAGGGGTATATGGCAGTCATAACTGAAAAATAGGCTACGGAAGTGAGGGGCAAGCTGCCGAAATAAAAACACCCCGGACAGACATACATTTATAAACAATGAATGATACCCCATGTGAGATGAAATAAAATGCACCAAAATAACATGGGTATAATAGAAATTTTCAAGGGCTTATCTGGTTTCACCTTGAAAGGAGAACTACAGCGTGTGATTTTAACACGGACTAAGACAGTGTAGCAGTTTTAACATAATTTAATAAAATATTTAACATATCAAGACACCTGAAGATGGCCATTTGGGGCCAAAACATGTAGTGTCAAAGTGTATAATGTTAAACTAAAATTAAAATTAAGTAGTGAATAAACAAGTGTTGCAATATTGACAGACGATAAATACATGGACGTTAAGTTAAACAATTGCAACAGGATGCTGAAATACAGAAATGTTATATCTATCCTTGCCATTTTCATAAATCACTGGAGTCCTGGAGTATTTTGTCTGGGACGTATCCTTCAACTAATGCTGGTGTAACTTGATATTCGTGAGGGGTTCATGTCTCGAGACAATGGGCTGCAACCTTAGTTTAGATTAGTTTTTAAGAACAAGAGAAGAGTTGAAGGGTGCAATTTTTGTCTGGGTTGTTGCTAGGAGAAGGCTGGTCAGGCTTATGTCTGCCAGAGCTTGTATGTAATATACACACAGTTCAATAAATCCTCTATATTCTGTAGTAAGTATCTGCTTTGTGGTTGGAATACACACTCAGGCAGCCAACTGACAATCATCATCACTGAATTATTACGCTAATGCTCGGCCAATGTAATTCAGTCGACCCACCATCTTGGGTCATGACAGATGATGACACACCTCTGAATTAAATCAATAACTGCTACATTTCACATTGGCTTCCTTGAAACATTGACAGCTGTGCATACAACCTAGTTGTTTCCTGATGTTATGGAACCTGTAGGAGCACCACATTTTTCAGGTAAGTCTGCCACTGGACCTTATCCTAAAAGGGTTTAATTCAGCCAACACCTTGAAACACTACTTCTCTAAGGTCCATTTTAATATTATCCTTCCATCTATGCTTACTTCTTCCAAGCTGTTTCTTTCTTTCATGTTTCATGACCAAAATTTTCTAAGATTTCTCATTTCCCTCCACACACACTACATGCCTTACAAGTGAACCTTCCAAACATACAACAGACATGAGGCACTAAGTTAACTTGCTCACAGTATTCTTTCTAATACCTACAAATAAAATTATACCAATAAGAATTGGGGGCAGGCGACAATATAGTTGGTTGAGGCTCTATGTTACAAGCTGGAAGGTCACAGGTTCGATTCCCAATGAGGTCATTGAATTACTTTCAATCAACCTAATCCTTCCAGCTGAATTATGGCCCTGGAGTCGACTCAGCCTCTAACAGAAGTGAGTACCAGGAATCTTCCTGGGACGTAAAGGGTGGCCAGTGCGTAAGGCTGACAACCTCACCATCATCTGTAAGCTGATTGTCTAGAAAATGTGACAGACTCGACATCTCACAACCCTGTGGGCCTCCGTGGCCTGTTACAGGGATAGTTTTAACTTTATTTTTACCAATAAGAATTAGTTTATGTTGTGTATATATTCCAGCTTTGAACTGATGCAGGGAAAAATGTAAGTATAAATTTTTTACTAAGATAAAATATGGAAGTTTATCCACATAACTTCAGGTCATGTGTCATGTTAACCTCAAGCTCAAATTATTCAACATGATTTACAATTTAGAGAATAACAATTGTCAATAAAAACACTGTATTAGTGCACTGAAATGTTGACATTACAGTATACTACATACACACATATAATTACCTGAACAGCTGGAGAGAAGTCAGCCAACTCATATTCATCCTCATCTAACCACATATCAGCATCAAGAGACTTAAGCACCCATTCCTGCTGGACAATCCAGCAGCCTCTGGCAATTCCTTTCAACAGGTTTACTGTACGCCTTGGTCCTTTTGTAATAACGTGAATGGTTCTTTCAGAAACATGAGCCTCTATAACAAAGCCTCCCAACTTGTCCACCACAGCTGCCACCACCTCCACCTCACTGCAACAGAACTACTGCAAGCATCCTTTCTTCAACGTGCAACTTACTTAGCATTTAGTCAGAACACCAAGTGGTTTAAGAATAATTCAAGGTAAAGATCTCTATTGGCCAAAATTTCTGAAACTCAGTCTGGAGAACTGTTTATTTAGCCACCGATGTAGAAAACCTTACATAGCTTGACCCATAATTTGTTCAGTCAAAATGGGTTACTAATGAGTCAAAAGTGATTTACAAAATTGAACTCAGTAAATATCAGTACACAACAAATTGTTCAAATAAAATTGTAGGTCTTAAAAAAATTAGATTCTATGTTGCATCACCATCATCCTTTCCAGTATTAAACCTAAAGAGACCTGTTACAGACATCAAAAAATAAACTCCTTCTGTCATTTAAGAGGTCTTCATAAACTTATTTTTCCTTCTGGTTAGCATTTTAGAATCTCTCTTGGAATTCTGCCAGAGCCCACCCTGTCAATGTGTTCTTTCCAATTTCTTCTGCATTGTCATACAAATTCTGTTATCTGTAAAGTCTTCAGTTGTCAATTAATTTATTTTATGGTCCAAAAGGGCATATCCCACAGTCCCCCCACCCGCAGGAAATGTACTTTTGCTCTTATCAATCTTCTCTCATTACTTCCTACTCTCCATGATCACTGCTATAAAATAATGCTGGCCTAGCAAATGTCTCATAAATTTCTATTCTTGTATGCCCAGAAGTCAGTAATGATTTAAAGATCCAATTATAATTCCTTGTATAATGACAAAATTCCCAATTTTTATATCCAAATCTACATTATGTTACAGGGGCACGTGGTAGCGTAGTTGGTTGAGGGGCTATGCTACAAGTTGAAAGGTCGCGGGTTCAAATACCGATGAGGTCATTGGATTTTTTCAAATGATCTAATCCTTCCAGCTGCACTAGGCCCTGGGGTTTACTCAGCCTCTAACAGAAATGACTACCAGGAATTAATTAAATAATTTTCCCGGGGAATAAAGCGTGACTGGCGTGTAAGGCTGACAACCTTTCCGCCATCTTTGAGCCGATTGTCTGGATAGTGTGGGACCCTCAACGTCTCACAAACCCTATGGGCCTGGTACAGGGATAGCTTTATTTTTTACATTATGTTACATACCCATTATATTTTATAAAATTTCCGAATGTACACTTACAATCTTTAGAAACATATGCCAGACCAAAAGCTTTATGTTTATACATAGTATATCACTGTGACCATTATCTGGTTGCTGAAGAAGTTGAGGAGAGACTGTTGGTAGGCAAACAATCAGTGCAAAAGTTTGATATACGGATATTTAGTCTCCATAAACTACACAATGTGAAAGTTATAGAACACTGTCTGCTTGAAATCTCAAGACAAATCTGCAGTGTAGAGAAATCTGGATGGCAATGTATGTATGAGTGGATACTGTAACAATGTGGAAAAACATTACATATAATATTGAAATCCAAAATAAGATTTAGGTTATTCAAAGTTAAAATAGCATAAACCATAACCTGGCAAAGAATAGTAAAGTAGGTTAAACTATGACAGTTACGGGATCGAGGTCAAATACTCTTAAAACTCTTCAGACATGAAACTAGTAGATATTTCAGGAACAAAAGAAGAGAATATTTGAAAGACAAAAGGAAGTCTGTAAAGGATGAGATTTACACATAGATACGGTAGAAATTTGGTAGTACAAAGTCACTCACAGGACCATAAAAAAGCACTTTAAAAAATAACAAATTTAATTTAATAATTTTATCTATCAGCAAAAATGGCTTCTTGTGAAACATGGTATTATGTGTTAATGGACCTGCATCACTAGGTGGTTACTGCTTGCCCTGAGCTTGGCATATAATCAAATGTTTACCATGTTAAAAACTCTAATTTACATGTAGGATTTGAAGTTCCAACAGTGGTGATTATGAGGAGTATATTTTCTAGTATATAATGCCAGGTAGCCTCTTGAAAGTCAGGTGACATTTTGGAATATATCAACTCCATGTTCAGGGTCAAAGCATAAACCGAGCAAGATATCAGCATGAAATCAGGTGACCAGCAGAGCAGATTCACCTGCTGGTTGACTTTCAATGGACTACATGGCATTACATTCAAGAAGATAGTATCCTTCATAACCACTGCTGTGAGAACCTCAAATCCTACATATTTAATACTGATGCAACAAATTCTGGTCACTAGCTCTATTACAGAGAACAAGTCTGGAAAGGTGCAACATGTACCACAGGACACAATTTCCATGCATTTTTTGCACCATGGCATTCTTCTGCATACTTCCCCACAAAAGTATACTACCACAATATTAATCTTTATTAGAGTTAAAGTAGCACTACAATATTTTGATGTGGTACCTATTATAAAATTTACTCAAAATTTGTTCAGCAGTTTTCATGTTGGACAGACAGACATCTACCCACATGCATTCATTTTATATGCATTGTGCTTAGAACAAATAGAAGTGCAAATTATGATTCAGGACACGCAAATTAACTTCTACGTTGATCCAAGGGTAAAATGCACAAAAACATATTTCCAAAAAGTATTACAATCTTAGAACCTCACTAGCTGTTCCTGGACAAAACTTGTGATATAGAACACGCAAAACTTCATTTTACTGAAAGTCTCCCAAATCTAATTTCAACAAAATCTATTGAAGGGTTTGTGGAATAAATAAAAAAGCCTGTTTATGGCCATATGCAAACTAGACTGTATTATGAATCAATATGACTAAAAACTGGAAGTCACAATAACTTTCACAGAAGTCTCCTGTATCACATTTAAATAAAATGTGGCAATTTATAGGATACACTGAAAAATCAATTTATGACCTTAAGTAAACTGGACTACATTATGGTTAATTTTATCTGAAAAGCATAATTTCTTAAACTTTTTGTGAAGGTCTCCCATATCAGATGTCAGTGAGGTTTGTAGAAGGATTTATGGAATACAGGGAATAGTACATTTATGGCCTTGTGTAAATTAGGCTTCATTATGGACCAATCTGACTAGAAATCATCACTGTCCAACAACCATTACTGAAAATCTTAATACTAAATTTTAAGAAAATCTCTCCAAAGCTTTAGGGCCGATACTAGGTCACAGATAGATGGACAAGACACCCCTTCTGCATAAGGCATTTGCATTCATCACACTTGGAGACAAACACAAAAGAATACCTGCAGCTAAATTAAAATCAGGCTCACTATATTACAATTTTTGGTATGTTCACATTGAGAAATTGCAAAAGTGCAATATTAACCTTCACTATATCTGTCTGTATGTCCATATGTAATGACTCAGATGCATGGGATGGATTTTTGTGAAGTCTAACACTGAGTTTTACTAAATTTTGTTGAGCAACACATTCCAATTTTGGTTAAAACTGGACATTTTACATGAAGACCTGCATGTCTCTCTGCATGTACCTCCTTCAAGCATAACTTTCTGGATATTTATCAGGGTGGAAGAAGTTTCAAGCAAAAGTTGTGCAGATATATGAAACATTTTATGTCAAATGCACTTTCCTCTATGTCTTACAGCTTTCAAAATAATTACACACAACAAAGTGAACCACCTAGTTCTGTTAAATTATGCATACATTTCCAAACTTATCTATTTAACAACAACAATGATCTTCCAAACACATGAAAAATCAATCAGGTACTGTTGACAACAATCAAAAGAAGATTCCCATCTAAATTCAGAGGTCAGCATGTACATAAATACATAGATATTTAATTAGGATTTAATTGGTTGTGTTGCTACAACTGTTACTTCATTAATTATGTTTTTATCTTACATTTGATTTCATTTAGATAACTGTCTTCTAGTATATGTGAGTGATCACATGTGGCAACAGGCATCCACTTCTTCCAGTCTTGTCTTGGATTTTATTTTCCATCCACCTATTCCTTCTGGCATATTACCAAAAAAAAAAAAAAAATCACCTGTTACCTCTGCCATGTCTGTCAGTATGTAACAACTCAAGAGCCACTGAACTGGCTTTCATAAAATTTTATACCAGTAAATTTTACTAAAATCTGAAAACACACATCAAGTTCAGTTAAACTCTGACAATAATGGACACCTCACATGAAGATCTACATACACTTCTGTGAATATCTAACACATAATAAATATTTAGCAGAGTCAAATATATTTTGAACAAAAGTAGAGAAAAATGAAGAACATACCTATACTATGTCCAATACACTATTTCAATAAAGCACATAGTTTTAAAAAAATTAAACATGCAGAATTTTTTTTTTAATTTAGAGGATATAAACCGAATATGCCAGAACTGTTATGGCTATGTGTACATTTGCTAAGTTGTTATTTGTGCAGCTAGTAATAAATACTGGTCTTACCACAACTGTGCACATTCTCATCTACAGAAAGTATAGTTCCAGTAATATTTCTATATGATGAAAACAACTGTTTTGTTTATTAGACTCTATCAAACACACATTGCAATTGAATATTCAAACAGAATATGTCTCTTAAGAAAGGAAACCACCACATATGTTGCAGACTGTGAACTCTCTCAAAGACGGGATATTAGCACAATTATTTTCTGGCATTATTTGTGTGGATTCTTGAGCAGGTAAATTATCATCCTTCTCTTTCTTTGACATTAGAACACCTTATACATAATAATATGACTGATATTCATATACTACTTATTGCTTTAATTGTGTATTAAAAGAACAAGATTGTGCCAGGTGCTTATAACAAATTAGGTACATATAGACAGCCAAGTTTTAATTATCCAAATGCTGTAAAACATCATTTATGCATTCAATTCATACATGATAAGTATGTTATGAATTAGAAGGAAAAATATTATACTTTGTTACTGAAACTATCAACAAAGAAAATACAAAATATTATATTTCAGCATACTGTTGCTCTGAAGTATCACTCAAGCAGTTTCTCTTCCATATATAATGCAACACTTCTTATTTTATATGACACCATATAAAATAAAAAGTGTTGCATTATAGATGGAAGAAAAACTGCATGAAAGAAAATACATAGTATTAAACTTACTAGGGATTAGTCAGAGTCTAGTAGGAAGGTGAAAGGTTCCATTGCCTGTCTGTAGACACGTAAATTTTCATTAAATTAAATATCTGCCACCATCAGTGTCTGCTGATAAATTTTACTTTGTTTCATACTGCATCATTTTACATGAAACATGTTATCTGGGATTTTTTAAGGACTTCTTTGTGAGTTTGTTTTCTAGAATACTTAAAAACTGTAGATATAACTTGTACAGAAAGTTAAAATCCATTGGATTTAAAATTTTGATTGTCTGCACATCTTTAGTTAAACTAAGAACTCTAAAATAATAATAATAAGATCTACAAATCTTAAACTTAAATAAGATATAATTTAAACACATCTGTTTCAATGTAAGAGAAGCTGTAAAGATCACAGGTGCTCCAGTCTGTCAATTTAACAGTGTAGACTAGTGTATCCATTCAATTAAATACTTTCAATTCCTAGACATTTAACACATATTAAATGTTTTACCTTTAAATTCGTTTTTAATTTCATTATGAAATTCTAGGTGACACACCTTAACTCAGTACTCAGAAAACTGTTTGTAGACGGCCGAATAGTGTTCCATATTCCTCAAAAGAAGTACCAAGCAGCAATTTTCTGCAGTTTATGTTTAGTAAAGTTTTTGTTTCTTCATAACTGGAAATCAACACTGGATTTTTTTTCTGATATCCAGGACCACACTACCTCATGCAGAAATTGCATATACTTGACTCTTCTGCTTTTATTCAGTGTTCTGCATATAATAAATGCAAACAGAGCATACTTTTTAAGATACACTACCACCTTCTTTCACCACTTCACTAATTTTTCTGAAAATTGAGTAATAATGGAAATAATGATATACTCCATCTTCACCACTCATGATTTCATTTTACTGGATAATGCAGCGTGGTTTCCTCTTCTCCAGGTTGGTTATCCTACCACTTCCTTCTGTGTTCAGCATTTCTGACTCATGGATCATGAGTATCATTTCTGCAGGTCTTTTGTCTTTCCACATTTGAACATTACCAGTGAAATCGCCATTTAATGCTTCTTTGTGGAGCAGTGTTATCTGGTCACTAAACTACAGTAGGTCTTAAGTTGAGGAAATCTAATACCATAATTACTGACCTGGGATCAGAGAAATTGAATGTTAAATGAGGGTAAACTTTAAATTAAGAAATATTAGATGAAGATTTTACTGTATCACCTTCCCCCCAGAATAACGACTGCCTTTTTCGTGTCTTTAGATTCTTTTCTACTCAGTGTAGAATGCCTCCTTTAGTCCTCATACTGCCACAGACTTGTCTCTCTGTTGGCTAATTTCACACTATTACAAAATAGTTTTGCCAGATATTTTTTATTAGATTCTTCCTCTCTGTTGCATGTATTTCCATATTACGAATGTCACACAAAGCTCTACACACGATTCTCGCCAACATCCCATACTTGATTTTTTCTGGATTGTATGCTCTAAGCTTCAGGTGACCACTCTATAGTATCTAGTGGCAGCTTTCTCTGGATTTTGAACTGCCTAAATTTCTGCAGGATACTTTTACACACAGGCTCCAGTCTGTAAAGCCTTCCTGAATCTTGCCTTGCTGGTTACTATCACTAAAATATCAGGCGTGCCAAAAACCTTCAAATCAGTTTTCCTGTTCACAATGTTGGTGAAAATGGAAGTGGAAATTGTGAGGTCAGATGACCAGTAATCTTTTATGTTGTTCTTTCCGACCTGACCCATCAAAATGTCCTAAAACTTCCATTTCTTCAGGTAAAATGGTGAACCATTTAAATGTTTCAGATGATACCATCCATTGTTGTGCATTTGGGGCATGGAATGTTCTGTAAATAACTGTACACAACTGTCAGTTATGACTGCACTCACCACCTCAAAAACAAACCCCGGGTTATCAATATTGTGACATGTAGACCCATTGTTAGGGAACAAGTTCGCAAAACATGTTTCCATGGAGATAAGATTCTTGGAAACCAGCCCATTGCTATGTGATAAACAGACGTGTCCAAGGATATGGGGTACAGGTGTTCAACAGGCATTTCCGTGAGTACAGATATGCTATATAAGATGCTGTTCAGAACAGAATGGAGCCAGTCGTAGTTCAGATCAGAATAGAGAGAGAAAGATCAGATAAAATCACAAGTGGGCAAGTTCGGCTGAAGATTTATTGTGAGTTATTGTAATTTATTGTGATTACGAAGATTGTACAAGGTGTTAATAAATCCAATCATCCAATCCATATCCCGTCTTATGAGTCACCTATACACGTGACAATATTTATGTTCACTTCCATGAATCTCAGGAAACATGTCACATGGTTTCTTATTGGTAGTCTTCTATTATTCTTCTACACAAGGCCATGTTTCATACTAGTGGAAGGAAAAAAAAAGGGATAAAGTTGTCCTTATGCTTAACTAATTAAGCATTATGCCATGAAGACATATGGGGGAGTGGATGTATAGAACCATGTTTTCCTGACCTTGGCACTAGTTGGAGGTGAGTGATCAGCTTCACGCCCTGGGGAAAGAGCCCCCCCCCTCCTTACCCATTGCATAGGAAGTTGGGTGGGCCCCAGAGCCAGTCTTGACAACATGGACAAGTGAAAATCCTTGACCCCAGTGGGACTTGAACTAATATCCTTTAGTTATCCAGCCTTCAGCAGTTGCTATACCAACTGCACTATCCTGGCTCTACTAGTGGAAGGTTTGAATGAAAATAAGAAACATATCTGAATCATTGAATAGTTTATAGTTTCATGAGTGTGGGGTCAGGAATTGTCTTTTCAAGACGCATGCACCTGCATGATACAGTGTAAAGAAACAACATACTGCTTGTCCTGTCAACAATGTATTGGACAGAAATCATATATTTCTACACGACCTTTGAGCACAGTGTTAAGAATTCATAAATGCACTTAAGAAATTCACTCTCAGAGTATTAGACAGAGACAGAGGCATTTCCATAAGTTCTTCATGAAAGTCTGACTATACTATAAGGATAAATACTCCACATGAAACATATAAACACTTTTCTGTTCTAATTTGTAAACACTTGAAAATGACAACAAACCATAACAACTCTACAACTGTACTTTGTATTAAATTCATGCATGAGGAAACAGCTGATTCCAAGATCAGGGGATCTTGGTATAAAACATGAGAATTTTATTATAGCATGAAACATTAAAACATTTGATCAGTTATCAGTTAAGAACGCTGCTCATCCATTATAAGATATGACCTTCCAATTTAAATTTAAATTTTGAAATGACAATCATCTCTGCTATCTCACTGCTTGTCGTACTACAGTAAGTATGGATCAGAAAATATCTTGGAATATAATATTATGGCATATTTACTTAAAGCAAGAACCGCGGAGTAGTGTTTGCTGTGCAGGCCATGCCGAGGCTAAATAATGTGGACAAGCTGCCATTACGGGAGTCTTGAGACAGCAGTTAGAAGAGCAGGATGTTGGTGTGAGATGGCTGCCAGTCTGTGAGGACTTGAGCCTGGGTGCAGAGGATCCTTCAGTATTGGAAGATGTTATCAAACAGAGCAGTGAAGGCCGTGAAAGGGAACAATACTCTTTGTGTGATAGTTCTTTGTAAAGTGTAGTCACAAATTGTTTAAGAGTCTAATAAATCCGATTACCAATCCAAGCTACATCTATAGTCACACTAATCACGTGACACTACAAAAATATGATTTCGTCAAATTCACTGGATGAGTAAACAGCAACATTAAAACAGCCATACAGCTATGAACGGTACACTTTCCTTGTTAATGTCTAAACTGACTGTAAACAAACATGAAGAGTCCTGAAGAAAGCAGTCTTCTGGGATTTGGCACCGTGTATATGTGGTGTTAACCGACGTTTCGGAGGAACGTATCGCTTCCATCTTCAGGGTAGAAGGAAAAATATAAGAAATCCGCAAGCNGTCATGTCTTCTGACCAAAAAAAATCTGTGATTGAACTTACTGTCTGTGTAGACTGGTGCAAACTAGTGATGGAAGTTTTTTCTCTAAAGTTTTCTGTGGTTTATTTTCCTTTTCAGGAATTCTGATGAATGCATATGAACTACTACTTGAGGCACGCAGCACTTTCTTCACAGTTTCATGTTTTTTATTAGAAGCAAAACCAAACTTCTTATGAACCTGTCTACGTCTCCTTGTCTCTGAGGTTGAGGTGGATGGTGCACAAGGTGTCAACTTCAAGTCAGTGGTTTCACCTGCAGGAAGATATGCCTTCCTTGCTTTTTGTTCCCCAGTTTCCCTTTCTGTAACATATGGATACTGCAGAGATAGAAAACTGGCTTCTTCTGTGACTGCAGATGCATCCAACTCCAGCAATTCTGATGAATTAAACTGCTGCAGAGACAACAATTTCCGTTTTTTCACTGAAGTTTCTTTACTTACTGCTGTATCACTTGAGATGTTATTTTGAAACTGACTCTCACTGTTTGCGGACTGCAAAGAACACATTCCAACTGCTAAATTTTCAGTGTTAACTGGCTCTTTTTCATATACATCAATAACCTTTGAATTACTGACTTCAGACTGATTACCAGATTTATAATTTGAGTTCTCAACTGTAACATTATCCATAGTATCGTGTTTCCTTTTTTTGCCTTTCCGAACTTTATTTTCCAGGTCAGATTTTTGTGCACTGCATGCAGTGTCAGTGGTAGTTTCAAATTTTGCTGAAGACATGCTGTACTTATCATTCTTTGCTTCACTACCTTTATTGCATGACAAAGTGTTTCTTGCAAGCATTTTACGAGGTTTTGTTATTAAAACTTTATCAGACCCTCCAAGTGTTGGGGACTTTGATGAAGACTGAGGCAAATCATATATTTTAGTATCTGCATTACAGATTCCAATATCTGTATTACCATTTTCAGCCCTTCTATCAGTATTTTTATCACTTGCAAAATTACAGGAAAGATCTCTGTTCCTTCTCTGAATCTCTTGTCCACATTGTCTCTTTGGAGTCTCCTGAAGACTAGCTGATCCTGGAGCACTACACACACCATTTTTCACACGCGCTGTTTTTAGTCCATCTATGGATTTTTCCCTTGAAGTCAATTCTGGACTAGACTGAGGAGACAGAATTTTTCTAAGTAATCGGACTGCCAGTGGAATTGAGAAATCTTCTTCCTCGCTTAAGGTAGGACTGTCAGGTCTGTTAACAATCTGTTCATATTCTGGTCCAATATCAGCTACACTCAGTAAAGTCCTTACAAGTCCATTTTCATTACTAACATTTTGAAGAAATTCTGGCACTTTTATTGGCTTTTTGTAAGTTAGTGCTTCAGGGAGCTTAATTTCAGGTTCATTTTCTTTTATATCAGCAACAAGCTTCTTCTGACGTCTCCTTTTCAGTTTCTGTTCCCCCATATCATCATAATCAGGTTGCAATGATCTCACTTTTCTAAACCTCTTCAGAAGGTTTGGTGATTCATATTTTGCCATATCAAAAGGGGGGTAAAGCCTTTCTGATACTATTGTCTGTGCATTCTTACACTCTTCAATCCATGACACAGAAACTAGATGCACTTCTCTTTTGACTGCTTTCTTATAAGTTGACAACAGACCTTCATTGAACACCACATGGGTAACCTACCAAAAGAACATTACAAAGACATTATATTCAACATCCTCCAAACTTTTATTTCTAATTTTACTGTTACAATGATATACTTAGCTGGCAAAAATGCTTGAGACTATTTCACAAAAATTCACATAACAGTAAAAATAAACTTTCTGTCTATGTTCTGCAAATTTTAATGCCCAATAGTAGTGAGCACAGTTACATGCAAATACAGTCTATGTTGGGCTTGAAAGATAACATTTCTGCTACAGTAAAACAAGAAAGTATACTTCTGCTGTTACACAGATTAGGTTAGAAAGATGCCTAAAATTGTGTAAGCACTTCTCACCTCCTTATTTGTGTTACACATCCCAATAATCTGATCCCCTTGAATTGATCACCTCAACAACATTTGGGTGTAATGTAATGGTTCCCTTATTTAATACCAGAATAGGCAAAATATTTTTACAACCCAAAGTAGATAAGTTCGATTACAGGTTTTCACAGCAGTGACTATGATGAGTACTATCTTCTTGGATGCAAATCTTGTAGTCCAGTAGATGTTCATCAATGTTCTGAAGGAAGGTACTGCCTTCATCTTCAGGGTCAAAGAGTAATACAAGTAAGAAACAGCAAGAAACAGATGCCAAAGAGTGTGAACTGTATGCAAAAGAACAGGTTCTGACACAAATAATGAATAGGTGTGTTCAGACTGGTTCTCTTGAGAGTTCCCTCTTGGTTTATATCAGGTCCTGGTTCCCTGCACACAGTTCATTCTGCTTGCTGCCTGCTTCCTGTTGATTTTTTGCTTGGCTTACTTTTTGATCTTCAAGTTGGTGGGAATATATTCTCCAAAATACCATTGATCTTCTACCAGACTACTTGGCGTTACATCTCAGATGAGAGTACTCTTCAAATTAGTTAATTTCCAAAACCTGATTTTTACACTACTCCTCTTCCATCAGGGGAAAAAGTAGACTTATGAGACCACTGCAATATCTCTGTGTCTATGTCTTAGTGTCCCTATTGCAATTTTGTAATCAACTGACCTATTTTCATGAAATGCACAGTTCTTATTGTGCTATCTACTTCCCAACTGAAAAGCATGTATTTAACTGTTATTATAATTTATTATAATTATAATTTTACCTACAGATGTAAGAATATGTTTTGCACAGAGGAAACTCACGATCGGATAAGTCACACAGGTCTGAGCCATAATAAAAGATAAAGCTATCCCTGTACTTAACTATTTAAGCACTACGCCATGAAGGCGTACGGGGGAGTGATGAATAGACCCACATTTTCTTGACCTCGGCACTAGTTGGAGGTGAGTGATCAGCTTCATGCTCTAGCCACTTTACCCCTGGTACGCACTGAATATGAGGTTGGGTGGACCCTAAAGCCAGTCTGGACGACATGGAGAAGTGAAAATACTTAACGCTACTGAGACACGAACTCCGACCCCTTGGTTATCCTGCCAGTAGCCAGTCACTATACTAACTGCACTATCCTGGCTCCAGGTCTGAGTCATAATATTACATACAAATTGGTTTCAACTGAGATATTTTCTGTTTCTCATAAGAACTGAACCAGTCAGTCTATCTCAAGGAAATCAAACTGACATAAATTATTTTGTCAATAGTTTGTACACTGCCGAAGTGTTGTTCTTCATCTCGTGTAGTTAACTTTATCAACATTCAGTTTACAAATATTGTATTAGATTTGTGAAAAGTTATTTCACTAAATTAATTTGATGTAGGAAGCAGCATAACTGCCAACCTTCTGACCTTTAAACAGTACTAAAATTCTGTATGAAAAAGAGAAACAGAACTCTGCATTATAGAGATTAGATTGCCAAGTTCTCCATTCAGGACACACAGGGCTTCTGCCAGTTATTCAGACATGGCAAAAAATACAAAACCTGCACAATCATACATTTCTAATGAACATTCACAACTTACATCATTTGTGAATTTGTCTCTCACAGTTGCTCCAAGTGACCTCAAGTGAGCTTTGATTCCCATGGATCTGTTGTCACCTCCTGAGCGAACCTCCACATATGCAACAACACCTGCAATGTAAGTGTGATGTTCAGTGTTCACTAACACAAATAAGAAATTACACAAGTAAAGATGATAGGTATATATCAATGTCTAAAAGGTAAAAGTTATGTGGGGTGTGTGCATGATATGATACTCGTAACTATAAATATATAGAGCAGTTGGTGGCTCTGACCTTTTAACAGCAGGCTGGATACAGGCTGGGTGGCAGGAAGTTCATTTTCTTCCTCTTCATTGCACTGTGGGGACTTCTGCAGACTTCTGACTTGCTCAGTTCTGCAAGGAGTCTTTTGTATCAATTCTGAGGTGTGGTTAGTAATTTCTGTTTGTTTGTCACACACTCCAACTGTTACGAAGGAAGAGCTGCCATCAACGGAATGAAGTGGAGTTCTGCACTTGCTACTCATGGCAGGAGGAGTCTTTGGTGCCCACAGGCTTGTAATACCACTAACTCTTGGTGATTTACTTTCTTTCCTTCCAGATAAGATCTCCTTTTCAGTTGCTTTCATAGTATTCAGGGCATCTGTTCCCAAACTCACAGATGATGAAGATTCCCTCTCCAAATCATTCTTATTAAACAAATCATGCAATGATTTACACTGTTGCATTGATGTGGGTATGACTTTACGGTCCCCTCCTTGTACAGAAAGGTGATTATTTAAGTATGACTGAAGAGTTGATGATTTTATTTTCTTTATATCTGGTGTTACATCCACAACATCAAAACTTGAATTATTATGAATTCCACTTCCAGGAGTAGCATTATGTGATACTGATGACAATCTCATTCTCTTGGGATCAGAGGACTTTCCAGGATTTTCATTCACAGCAGGTGACTCATTAAGAGTGTACAGCTTGCGAAGTTTTCCAGACTTTCTAAGGCTGCTTTCCCTGGATCTACTTAAATTTCCCATCCTCAGACCAATGTTTGGGGTGTGATCAACATTTAAGCCACTTTCATCTATGTAATGCAGCAAATCTCTATCAGCCATGTTCCAAATCATATGCAGAAAGAATATCTAGAAAAGTCAACAGCAGAATATTACATTTTTAACACAAAATTTACTAATTATAATTATTTCTGCCACATGTACTTCACAATTTCATTACTGGCACAGTCTACAAACACAAACTTTCTTGCATGTCATTCTCTTAAGGACACAGAGCTGCTGAAATCAGCCATGGCACTGATACTACCTTGTTTTTATATACCCCATCTGCTACAGGAACGAGGGTGCATCATCATCATTTAATGATGGAGGCCATTATATCATTAGATCCTATTTTCAACACACTTCTGGTACTCCTACATGAGTGAGAAATTCATACATAATACAAATGACTTTTCCTCCATAAAGTTCGTGACATACGACACGATCTACCCTGGTTCATAGACTAGAAGGACCTTAGTAGCTTCAGCTGAATCATATACTACATACAGATATTGGGGTTTTCGGACGTTATCCACCGTCCTGGTTTTTAAGGTAACTAAGAAAAAACACGACATTTCGGAAACTGGATCCGTTTCCGTCCTCAGCTGAGGGAAAACACCTATTCTGTTGGGTCCGTTAGAAAGAGCTAGCCTCAATCACTGAACCCATCCTCCAGTGACTGAGGCTAGCTCTTTCTAACGGACCCAACAGAATAGGTGTTTTCCCTCATCTGAGGACGGAAACAGATCCAGTTTCTGAAACGTTGTGTTTTTTCTTAGTTATCTTAAAAACCAGGACGATGGATAAAGTCCGAAAACCCAATATCTCTGTGTGTTATACACCATCGTCAGAATCCTATAGGAACTACTCATACACTACATGTTATTCTAATGCTTATTATATATTCTTTGCACAAACTTTATAAAATAAACATATATGAGGAAAATTGTGTTTGTGTCCATCTGCATGTTCCATTACTGATTCTATTTGACAGATTTTTACTAAATTTAATACTGGGATGTGCATTTAAAGTTGTTTAGCAAATTTAAATTTTCTGCATACCCACAATTTACATGAAAAAAGTGAAAAAAGTAGGTAAAGGTATCCCTGTGACAGACCATGGAGGCCCATAGGGTTGTGAGATGTTGAGGCTCCCATATTTTCTAGACAATCAGCTCATAGATGGCGGTAAGGTTGCCAGCCTTACACACTGGCTGCCCTTTACCACCAAGAATATTCCAAGAATACTCCTGGTACTCATTTCTGTTAGAGACTGAGTCGACCCCAGGACCATAATGCAGCTGGACGGATTAGATAAATTGAAAAAATCCACCTCATCGGGATTCAATCCTGTGACCTTTCAGCTTGTAGCATAGAGCCTCAACCAACTACGCTACCACGTGCCCCTTACTTTACATGAAGCAAAGTTTAATAAATTTCACAAAAAAAAATCATTATAAAAAGTCAGTAAATGACATACAGTATTAAGATCTAATAGTTTTATCTTAAAAATTTATCAGTTTCATGGATATTTAATCACACATGAAGAAACATCACTATGAGTGTGCAGTCATTGGCTTTTCAGGAATAGATCTGTATCTTGACCCAACAGCCAACATCCCCCTAAATATTTCACAAATTTGTCTGCAGAAGATGACAAAGAGATTTTTCATACAATTCATTGCATTAGGAGTGCTGTTTGCTCTTGGTTTCTTGATGCTTGAAGAGTGATGTGTTGACTGCAGCATGGGATGAAAAATTTATACAAGGGCCATGGAAAATAATTGGAGTGTTATTACTTGACACCATTTAAACAGCATACATTATATAGAGTTGGAAGAAAACAGACGTGGAAGAAAATTTTAAAATGTCATTTACCTGAACGGACCAAGGAAATACATGAAAACCCTCCACTGAGACAGCTAATTTGTGGCCCAATATTCAAACTCAGTACCTTCTGAACACAAGGGAAATTTAAACATGTGACTATGGCAACTGGCAAAAAGCTATGAAAATCTCTGGTGAACCATATTCAGTCAACATGGTTGGTCTCCAGTCTGAGATCTGAACCCAGCACTTCCAAATACAAAGATGTGCTGATCACTATAACATGATGTTTAATAGTAGATTAACCTAACACTGATCAAAAACTACAACTGTAACTGGTGAAATAATTACCTAAATATGAAATGAATATCACTCCAGTTTAATGTCCCTGAATTCAGCATTGGGAGACTGAGAAATACATACACATTTTCACATCATCTACAGTTAATGTTAGAAATTTTACATAACCGCAACTACTCATCCTTCACTAACCCTGATCACTACAATGAAATTTCTCATGTCACTGTGGATAACAATTTGCTGTCTGTTAGACTACAACATTATAAATCATATACATCTTCCAGAAAAAGAAATTGCATTTTGTGAGAAATGAGACTTCTCTGCCTGAATTTTCGTAATATAACTGTAAAACGAGCGCTCCATTCAGTTTTTTAAAAAGCTTCATAAGAGATCTGTAGTTTGTACAAACATATTCTATGATAATTTTTGGTTGAGGTAATCTGCAAAAAATGGAATTTATGATTCTCACTCCTACTAGGCAAAAACTGCAAGACACAGGTTGCTCAAAATTTGCAAGTACAGTATTTCCTATGGAATTTATAGGATCATCAATGTTCATTGAAAACTGGGAAGGTTGGATTGTGGAATGTCTCTATAATAATATGAAGCCCAACCTGGTCACATCATTTATAGAAGAAATGACAGAATAATTCAGTAGCATTCAACATCAATCAGAACTGGAGCTTAGAGATAACTGGAGGAGTTCCAATATGTAACATATAGAATGACAATCCTTTAATGCAAGGTTTAATTTCACTGCTCTTCAATTCTGTTGAAATGTATGTGATGTTGCACTGAAGATGCCAGTCTTTAACACACACAGTAAGATTACACAGACTGTATATGTCATCACAATGCATTCATAATCAATGCACCTCAGTATTCTGTAAATGTTATATAGCCTACTTATGTTACTTCCACAATGTTCGAATTCTTTTTCATATCAGTGTATGTTTCTACATTTAAAATACACACAATTCAGATTAACAGCTTTCAGGTCTGCAACATTCATATACATATAAATAAGGTCCTCAGTTTTAACACATAACTTCACAGACATTTTACATTATTTCAAAACAATCTGTTACCCTTCTGTAACTGTAAATTACTGTAACTGAACTGTAAATTAACTCTTCAAAATCTGAATCATCAAAGCATGCCAAAACTTTCAGTACAAAATAAACAACGCGTAACATTTAACTAATTAAAAGTTAGTTTAAATTACATGTTACCCAAAGTCGACAGAGTCTTAAAAGATTACCAATTCTTCCACAATATACTCACATGCTACTCTGATCCCTTCATTTTCTAGAGTTCTTTTTAAATCCAAACAGGTATCGAAGTGTACATCATGTTATTTTGATCCCTTGCTATCATTACTGTTTAATGAAATTTGAAATCTGTGCGTTTTAATCGGAGGTTCTTCGTTTCCTCAAGTCCATTTGTTACCGCCTATAATGCACGAACTTCAAACAAACTTATGAAACTAACATTTCCCAGCTCTATAACTTACTGCCTTGCCTTGAAAACGAACGAAAAAACTTTGCAATACAAATTAACTACTCGCCTTTTCTTTTCAGCAATCCACAATATTAATGGAAAACACAAAGATTCGAATACGTCCACTAATTGAACATCTGATCGCCTTATCTACAATACTTACACCCAAGGTATATATACAAGGAGAATAGCGTAGACCTAAAGCAGAGAGTCTGGGCAGGGTACCAGGTTTCAATGTGAGCCTTTGTGATTGCTTATCTTATTTCGTTGGTTGCTGAGCGACTTAGGGAAGCTAAGGAAGACTTTTGCGTGTACAATGCCTCGATTCTTCTCAACTCACGTCACCAATAAAAGGAAATATGTTCAGAGAGAGTACCGAAGCAAAATTACTGATGTCTCTTGGGGTCAATCTGCAGACACATTCGTTTCTTCCAAGAGTATTTCTATTGTTGCAGTACGTAACTAGAGCACGTGTCGCGTAGAGAACAGTTTCCCATTATTGTTGTATCCTCCTGTTGCCGTGGAATTCTCGCGTTTGTGTCTGTCGGCGGTGCCGTTACCTAGCAACGGGTCTAAGTATCACAATACATAATCTGTAAATACTTACGTGGACGTATTTTTTAATCAAATTCGTTCACACACCCTGGAACAGGTCCAATAAACAATACGTAACATGGCTCCTTGAAGCGCAGACTTTGAAACATCTGATTTTCACGAAACTCGGCTTGAATGATGTGCCATTCAAGGCCATCCTAAACCATCGTTTTAAATTTATTACAATCGGTAACAAAAACACAATGGATGGAGAAAATCGCGATGTGTGAGACACAATTTTAGCAATGAATTTCAAGCATCACACCACTGGATACCTCCTTGCTCAATGTGGCAGCACTTGGCGCAGGGTACATTAGGTTTGGCTGGCGAACACACACCACTGCGCATCCACTTATTACCGGCATAGTTTCGTCCGATAACGTTAAGTTGGGATAGCATGCGTTAATGTCTATTATAGTGACACATCACACAAACTCTTATCCCTCAGAGCATGAAATTTGGCATTGTCGTTTAGAGGAGTTTACAAATCAATGCAATTCTCAAACTTTCTTATTAGATTTCCAAATTCTTCCAATATGACACAAAATACTACCTAAATTCTAGTTTTTCGATTATCCAAGATTACAAGATTGGGTGGGTTTCGGAAATGTTTCAAATTCTTAAAATTATAGGAAAAATTAAAAAAAAAATCCGTCGATCGAAGTACATTAGATTTTCGAAATACGCGAAGTACTTAAACATTCGTTAACTTGAATTTCTTTACCTTGTAAGAAACCATCGTTATTGCGGACCTGGACATAAAGGAAAAATCTGGCAGCACAGTTACAATTTTTTACAGATGTTGAGGCATTAAGGTTTTGCAGTTAGAAAACCAATCATAAAAATGATATATAAACCTTTGTGTAATCACATTCTGTTTATAGTGTGACGTATTGCGCTATGGAGGACATCCCCTCCACCGCCAGCGGTGACGTAACAACATCGGAGCGCTGTCGCTACTATGGTAACAGGCCAGTCAATTCTCCCCTCCCCGCGGTTACTATGCAGCAATAAACAACTCTCGGCAGCGTTGTCCAACAATGCCTTTGTAAACACGGCGTCACGCAACAGGGGAGCCTGTGGAGCGACTGTTGCTAGACAATCGGTAAACACGACGTCACACAACTGTGAAAGCTATCACGTAACTGTTTTCAGTGTTGGTCAGTGCAGAAGCTACATAACAGGAGTATCAGACAGTAAAATATGGTCGCGAGTCCCAAGGGACTCGGACCCGAGTAAGACTGCGCTGGCAAGAGCCAGCAGCATATACAAAAGACAGACCCGTCCTCTCGTCAGAGAAGGCGCCCCACAGAAAGAAGACCGTAACTGTCAAACGGTAATAATTACTATCCGTTCATGAGTCCCAAATGGGGCTCGACGCCAAGACTTACTGACTGACTCACCGTAAGTCACAATGTGACTTTGACTAGTGAGTGATTAATAGTGAGTAGTGAGTATTGAGCCGGTTACTGGAGAAAGAGTACCTAGTTAATTGCAGTCTAGTATTTGTGATACTGCCGATGGCAGTAATTATTAGATTGTAAATTGTGATTGTAAGAGCGAGTGTTCAATAAATTCGCTATATCAAATAAGGCGTGAAGTTACTTGTCGCGTGACATATACCCAACACGTTACAATTTGGTGTCAGAAGTGGGATAACACGTTACATTTGGCAGCGTGTACTATGCATCCAACTTCCGTGAATAAACCTTCATCGGCAATAATGGTCACTCTGCCCCCCCCCCCGCCTTATTAGTCAGCTATAACATTGGTTTACTGTACTGTACCATACCTCGTTGAACCCATACGACTAGATCAAAAAGTATGACGTACCCTTGCTTCTCGACTGATCAAGGGTAAGACGTGGAAACCGCCACAGTGAATCGAGCGCCAACCAGTAACAGGCTAAGAACAGTCAATGCTAAGCAACGGCAGGGTGAACAGCTGTTGCTAGGCAAAGCCTACAACAATACGGACAGCTACTTGATTGACTGTCGTGGTTCCCATAGCTTCTTGCCCTGGAGCAGTCCAGAATCAAGAGTACGTCATACTTTTTGGATCTAGTCATATGGGTCCAACGAGGTAAGGTACAGTATAGTAAACTCATGTTATAGTTGATTAATAAGGGGTAATGCAGCGTGACAGTTATTGTCGATGGTCGCTATAATTAAGTGAAGGGTTATTCAAGGAAGTTGGACGCATAGTCAGTACACGCGATAAACATATAAACAGAATGTAATTACACAAATGTTTATATATAGTTTCTAATTGGTTTCCTACCTGCAAAACCATAATGCCTCAACAACATCGGTAAACATTACGTTCATAGCTCACTATGCACACCGCATCATCGAGACAAGCGCTTGCGAGCGTTGGGCCACTCCCCGAGTACAACACACTTCTGCAGCGGATTGAGGACCTCTCCCGACAGGTGGTAGCACTCAGCACCGAGATGGCCCACCTTCGCTTCAGGTCAGGAACCGCCCCTCAGGCAACAGATCCCCATCCTGAGATGACTCTACATTCAACCTATGCTGGTACCATAACTGCTACGGAGCTGGAGCAGAAAAATGTACTCAGTCCTGCTCCTACCGGCAGCCAGAAAACCCAACACGGCGGACAGCAACGGCAGCACACGTCTACACCACAATCACAGGCCACCTCTTCAACACGTACAAGATCAGTAAACGGCGATTCCTAGTCGACACGGTTTCAGACCTCTGCGTGTATCCTCGCGAGCTCATTCCACGGTGCAGAAAATGCGTCTGCGCAGCTAATGGCACAACCATCCTTACTTATGGATAGCTGTCTCTCAGCCTCAACTTGGGACAAAGCCGATATTTCACGTGGAGATTCATGTTGGCCTACGTCACACAACCTCTCATCGGCGTCGGCATCCTGGTGGACTACCTAAACAACCGCCTACTGGAAGGAGTCACGTCGTTGTCTTCACCGGCACAAGCAGCCAACTCACCGATTCTCAGAGTCAAGACCATCAATACCGGCACGCCTTTCAACAGCCTCCTCGCCGAATTCCCGGACCTCGCCCGCTCCGCCGGAGTGCAGCGCGAGGTGTGCAACAACACCGTCCACTACATCTGGACTATACCAGGCCCACCAGTGACCTGCCGACCACGGTGGCTGGCGCCGGACCGACTACCACAGAAGAAGAGTTTGACGGCATGCTGCGAGACGGCACAGATCGCCGCTGTGAAAGTTCCTGGTCTTCCGCCCTACACCTCGTACCCAAGAAAGAGAACGGCTGGCGACCTTGCGGCGACTACATGGCACTCAACGCCCGGACAATCCCAGACCGCTACCCCGTCCGTCATATCCACTATTGCTCCCACCAGCTTTTTGGGTGTTCCGTCGTGTCAAAGATCTACCTGGTGAGAGCGTACAACCAAATCCCCGTCCATCCTGGTGATATACAGAAGACCATCACCACTCCATTCGGCCTTTTCGATTTCCCCTTCATGTCCTTCAGCCTGCGCAACGCAGCCCAGACACTTCAACGCTTCATGGACGACGTTCTGCGAGGACTCGACTTCTGCTTCACCTAGACCGATTTCAGAAGTTCGGGATCCTCATCAACCCGGCGAAGTGAGTCTTCCGAGTACCCGAGATCACCTTCCTCCGCTATAACTTGTCCGCCGAGGGCTCTCAACCGCTGGTAAACGAGTGATCCACCTTCAGGAATGCCAACCACTCAAAATTGGCCAGTCAGCTCCGCCTTTTCCTGGGCATGCTGAACTACTACAGGAGATCTCCGCCCCACGCGGCAGCACACCAGGCACATCACGACGTCCTCTCCGGACCCAAAGTTAGGGGATCCCACCCCATCACTTGAACACCGGAGCTCCATAAGGCCTTCGAAGAGTGCAAGGCAAGTTTGTGACATGCCATACTTCTCGCACACCTCGATCCACCTGCACCACTTGCACTCCTCACAGATGCCTCCACGTCAATCATGGTTGCCGTGCACCAGCAACGTGTAAAAAATGCCTGGCAGCCCCTCGCCTTCTTCTCAAAGAAACTCAAACCCGGCCAAGCAAAAATATAGTGCATACAATGGCAAGCTGCTGGTCATCTACAAGGTCACAAAACATTTCCGCCATATGCTGTAAGTGCGCCACTTCAGCGCGGGGGGTACAACCACAGTGAATTGAGCGCTAGCCAATCACAGCCTAGGAGCCAGACAATGCTAAGCAACGGCTGGCTAACAGCAGTTTGCCAGGCAAAATCTACGATAATACAGACAGTGACTTGATTCACTGTGGTCATTCCCACAAAGAAATGAAAGCAACGAAGAATACAGCACACAAGAAATGAGGTTTCAATCTGCGATACCACAAGCTGCAACTTCAAAACAACTATTGTAGAAATGGGTACTCTCAGAAAAATACAGTTTTGGGCCTTAATATGTGAAACAATAAAGTCCAATTAATTTAATGTTTGTATCAGTGCATTCACTAGGTTGTCAACATAACATTTTTCCTAATTTCTGACTGCAATTTCCTTGCAACCCTACCTGGTTAGCTCTTCAATTACCCACCATTTATTGCTTCCAAATTGACAACAGCAAGTGTGGCTTTTCCATTCTTCTGCAGTAAATAAGGAAA